ATTAAACGGCAATCGGTGTTCAGAAAATGTTGATGAAACGAAGCACACACAAGAAAAATCAGAACGAGAGAAAGAGAAAAAAAATAAGTGAATTGATTCACAGTGAAGACGAAAGCAAAAAAGAAATTAACGTAATTAAGTTGCTAACCAAATAAATAAGAAAATTTTATTGGAGCAATTCTGATTTTCTTTTTTCCTCCACACATTTTCACCAGCAAGACGTGATCGTTTCTCTTGTTTTATTTTTATTTCCCTATATCTGACTTTCTATCTATTTTGTTTTTTGTTCTGTTCTGGTTCACTCGCGACGAGGAGATATTGAACTACGCCGGCTAAACTATTTTTAGTAGACACAGACCTGGAGAATATAAAATACGCGGAATTGGCAAAATGTAGAAAAATTCGAACACTGACACTGCTGCTCAACAACGGGAATCGCAGAAGAGGAAAAACACCCGAAAATCATATACATTGTACATTTGGATAATAATAAACATGAAAAGAGAAGTCGAGAGAAAAAAAACACACCGTGGCGCGTGATCGGAGTGAAGACCGAAACACGAGAAATAATTTTAATGCTCTGTGTTATGATAAACTCATCGCAGTTGCTTAATGGAGAGAGAGACTCAATGCTCGGAGCTCGTCTGACGTGAATGACGCGCGCGCGCGCGTCGTCTCTCCAATATGGAGTTGAAAATAATTTGTAGACGCAAAATGAGGAATAAAAGGAGCATGCTTTGAATGGTTTATTTTTCTGGCTAGAGATGTGCGCATTTATTGCCGTTGTCTCTTTTCCGTTCGCCTGATCTTGTGGTTCATCTATTGAGGTTTCCATACACATACACACACAGAGCAAATAACACCATTCCATTCGACACCGAACGCACGCTTACATCAGCAAAATAAAAGAGTTAATTACGAGATCTCTTCTGTCTGAGTCCATCTGTCAGTGAATATGTACTGTACGTCTCCTGTTCCCTAACGCACGTCATCAGATTCTCTGGTGAGATTCTTCGTCTTATTTTCTTTTTTATCAACTTTAGTGTGTTTTTTGTTCTGTCTTCTCCTTTCAGTCTACTATATATCACATGCACACAAGTCGCGCGCGCAAACTATTTCGGTATGTATTTTAAGTGACCTGGAGCAGAATGGTTTCTGTTTCTGTTTCTGTATCTATATCTCACTCTCTATTTCGGATTTGTGAGACAAGCACACACACACACATTATGCGTAAACAGTGTATATAAATAAACAGGCACTAAATTTTCGTACAATCACGTTTGAACGATTGAAAAATCACACACGAACAAAAAAAAAAACAATTTTGATGTAACAGGTCGACATTTTTTTTCTCTTTTATATACGATTGAATTCTTTTTTTTCTTGATTGTTGCATTTAGTTAAATTGAGCGCACCTGAGAAAAAGTCGATTGATGAAAAAAAAATGTCGATGAGTTATGTTGAGGCTGGATAATCCTTAAAGTAGTATCCTTCTTTTAATCGTTGAGACTACGCTGATAAATCAATACAGATCGATTTTAATCCAAAAAAAAAGACAAATTAGCGGCCGCTTCGTTGATTTGAATCCAAATTCGTTACAAAAATATTCGCTTAAATAATATAGAAGAATCGACGAGAGAAAGATAGAGAAGCGAGAGAGTTACCGAACTATGCGTTCCAATTGGCAGCGTGATTGACGTGCGCTGATGATGAACTCAAGAATACGACTGTTTGTTACTTGACATCGATTGTCTTTTATTGTGTGAACACAATCGGTGGCTGTGCTACGACGACGACTTTTCTTGTATTCGAGAGAATATATATCGTGGCGGCTACGATGTTCCCGTGTTTAGCCTTTTTTATCTTCTAAACGACACATTTCTATGTGGTCGAAGGCAGAGACGGAAAAACTACAACACACCGATCGACCGACACACAGCTAGTTGTTCACTGGCTGCTTAGAAATGCAATTTATTTTTGTGAAGATTTTCACAATCGATCGTATGTAAAACGAGATATTCGGGAATGCTTTCGACGCAATCGGTTTGGTGTTTGCTTAGTGTTGTATGTGTGTGTTTGTGCCTTGCAGGCTGAATTGATCTATATTTCGTGAAAAATCGCTCATGTGAACCCACTGTATATCTACAGATAGCGATGATGAAAACGACGACGATGATGTATTTTGGAGGGGAATAGAAAAAGCCAGTCAAACATTGATTCTAAAAATGTTCGGTTGGCCGGAAAAAAGAGAATGGAAAACAAGTTAAAACGTACAATTGTTACACCACCAAATCATTTTTTCGGATACGTAATACGTCTTACCTAGCCAAAGCTTAAAGTGAGTAAGCTCTCGTGCGATCGCACAAACACACTCAACTGACAATTGAATCGAATTGTTCTAACTAAATCAATGTAAGCCATTCGGTGTGAGGTGTTTTTTTTTATATTCGTAATCGTATCCGAGAGGAGCATTGATCGCATTAAGGGCTTTCAAATTCACGACACGGTCGAATTCATTGCCCAAAAAATATTAGCACGTCTTCAGAATTTATCGATTCCGCTTCACGAAAATGACGTGATATAATATGTTTCGGGTTTTGGCATCTAATCAAGAATCTGCAGTAGCTTGTATAGTCCTAACGGCCTTTTTATTGTGTCTCATTGAACGGCATCGCATCGCTATGCACTTGCAAGTATGTGTCCAAGAAAAACGTCAGACCTTTTCACAAATTGTTCGCTCGACTGAATTTTGCCGCATCGAGACATAGCGTGAATTGTCGCAAAATCCCCGCCATGCAAATAGTGCACACGGAATGGCTTTTCCACTGCGATGAAGATATTTGCGTCTGTTTATTACGAGTCAGCCGTTATTATCATAATCAACAACTCATAATTCAAGCCCGTAGCTGGACGCGATTAATTGACTTTTGAAATGCGTGTCCCATTGCAATGGCACTAATAATAATTAACATCGTCTGAAACCGTCTTATTCCAAAAATGAACGAAAAATACAAATGGTGCAAAATGTGTAAACTGAAAATTGTGAGAGTGCGTATGTCGGGCGGGATATGTGGATTGTGTGCGCGCGCACAACGTCGTGTGCGATTGGACTCACTCACAATTCGCCGTTGGAAATGTATCGAACCAAATAAATAAATTTCCGTGGACATTTTCTCGTGCCAAGAAACTTTTCATAATTTTCTAATTTAAATCTGCAGCGTGCATCTATTTGCGGTCTTCCATTTGGTTGGTGTTGCATTTGCGATTGCTGTGGTTGTTGTTTTGTGATCGTCTCGTCTCTCAAACGCGCGCGCGCGTAACGTGTGTTGCTGATGTTTATTTGGGCGGCTGTAACATGGATTTTATGATTTAATTGCACATGGAATAATACACAAACATCGGATTTCAACGGTGCAAGCAGTGCGCGCAATAATAAATAAATACAGACGAAAAAACACGTTATTTTGGAACACACAACGGCCCCGCCAACGGATTCAAGTGCGACGCAAAAATTCGAAAAATTATTCAGTTTTTCGCTGGCCTGGCTGTTCGTATATTTGAATGCAAGATATGAAAATTTTAGACGATGACAAAAAGGAAAACAAGCAACCGACGTTGAAATGGATGAAGAAAGAAATACCGTGTGAATCGACTAAGCGGGCCCATTCGGAAATGGTAAAGCGATTAAATCTTATTAAAATGTGTACGGGAAAAAACATGCGCGAAGAAAATGAGAGCGAGTGTCCAAGAAATGTGGCTCGCGTGTGTTAAGAAGCGATTTTCGTCGTTGGCAATTTGGCGTGAATTTTGGATCGTCCTGGCGACGAACATTGAAAATAAGTAGGCTGTTTTTAATCATTTATCGTGTTTGTTTTTTCATAGTATACTTGCGCCTTTTTGTAGCCCATTTTAATGAGAGAGCTTTTCTAGAGCAATGCCAAACAATTCTGGCGTCCAAAATATGCATGTTCCCTTCACCATTGGAATCTATTTAAAATGCCAACGAGTCACTCTTCTGTCCGCGATTGTCTCATTCGTTTTTCTTCTTACATTTTCAAAGCGATCGCGGCAAGTCATTTGAAAAAAAAATATTGTGGAAAAATGCAGTTGGGTGCTTTGAGCATCCAAGCAAAAAAAAGCTGAAAATAAGCATATAAATCATTTTTTCATATCGATTCCGATGAACTCAATTTGCCAAACACCAAATTACATAACTAATTAGATTCATTTGGCCAATTTTTTGCGAAATTAATTGAACTTGAGCACAGAATAGTGTATCAAACTTAGAAAATCTACGCAGCAAAAAATCTGTGGGTGCGCAAAAGAATTTTGTTTCGTTGTTGTTATTTCTCGCTTACTGAAAAATATTCCATAATGATTTTGAATTGAGTAATGGTTTTGGACACCTTTTCTATTTTCGAAAATATGTACGAAATAACAGAGTCACATTTCAAAAATAAAAATACAAATCCACGACGAAATGTTTCTGTGTTTTTTTGCTGCTGCTCTGTCGTTGTGTCTTACGCCACAGAAAAACAACAAACGAAACGGCGAAACTATTTTTAGGATCCACTGGCCTGGAGAATACGTCGTTGCGCTTTGACAAACATGTTTCGAACTTCGAACCGCGTCTCATTTCTTCGTTTGTTACACTCGAATATGTGTATCTTTTCGCATCATATACACGGTGAAGCTGTTGTGAATGTTCTGCGCGCTTTTCTTCTTTATTTTCACTCCAACGATCGTAAGTTTGTGTCAAGTTATAAATCGCACAAGTCTACTGAAAAGATTGGAGCGATTTTTCATGTTGGTTTTTTTCATTTTTTTTTTTCTATTTTCCAATAATGAATTTACACGATCACCCTTGTCGGCGCAATCAGACGACAATACAAATGACGACAATTCCGTTTTCATCTTGGGTCATTCAGTACGAAGCAGTATGTCCATCCGCTCACGCTCCGTTCATAACCACAGCAATTGAAAGGAAAACAACAGACACCTTTTTTTAGATTTTGTATATAATTTATTCTGAGAAAAAAAAGGTGATCGAATTGTTCGATAAAATAACAAAATTGTAACTACACGAAATTCGGAATCAAAAGCAATCAGTCTGATCTCTTGAGCAAATTGGTCTAAAAAAAACCATAAATTTAGAATGACGACATAAATTCATGATTCAATACGTAGGGTATTTTAATAGTAAAAAACGTGTAATGCAACGTTAATACAAATTAGATGATGTAAAGCTAATGTGAGCAATGGAAAAATCGGCTTGAATCATTTCGTATATGATAATTAACTAAGTGATAAATGGTTTAATGATTTCAACCATTATGGTTCTTTGGTTATCGGCCACCTTGGTTGTTGGTGCTTGGGCGAGCTCTTCGTACACGACGAATCAAACGCACTTGATCATTTTGACGACTAGCATCAGATGTTTGCTGACTTCGTGATGCCACCGCGCATCGATACAATTCAGTCAGCGCTGTGTTGCCAACTCGTAGAAACTGCCAATTCGATCCGTTCGTTGTTTGCTGTGGCGATCTCTCAACACGAGGAATACTGGGCGAAATGATTCGGTTTGATGACCGGTCGTTGTCGGTGTTATTTTGGGGGATTTGAATGTTGGGCAAATGGCGAAGAAGGGCAGACATGGCCGATGACCGATTCCGATCGTCTGCGGCATTTGCAGTTGGCGGAAGATGTGCGGCTGCTGTTGTTCGCAAGGACTGTCGGAATGCCAATTGACCTAATCGACTACGATGCGAACGGAGGATGTGTTGAAGCTGACCGATGTCATTGGCATTCAACTGTCTCGCATCATTTGCCACATGCTGCACCGAAATTCCACGTTGTGATATTTCATTCAACAGCTTATCGGTGGATCGTCTACGTTTTCGTGATGCAGGTATTGGAACCGGATTTGATGCTGACATCGTTGGCACAACCTGATCGTTTGCGTTGTAGGAAAGTGTCTGTGGATTAAAATTGATTGAGATTATAAAAATTGACTATTTTAAAGGAATGAATCACTACATATTTTCGTTGCAATAAAATTGAAGCAACTGTATCGGTTTCCCATTTAAAACAGATTGACTGGTGAAGGAGATTTTCTATGCTCACCTTTCTCCACTTGTCTTTGAAGGGTATTTCAGGCAAAATCGGCTGATGGCTGCTTTCATCATTGTTAACTTCCAACTCGGGGACAAAATGATCGGAATTACGAACGCCATTGTGCGAATCGATAATGGCTTTCAGATGTTCGCGCACTTGTGTCGCTGTCAATCGTTTTTCGGGATTCAATTGAAGTAGGCCTTTGATGATTTGTTCAGTTGCCTTGGACATTTCACAATTCCTGTTTAAATAGTTGAAATAATTAAAAAATGCAATAAAAAAAGTCCGAAAATGATTTTGTTCAAATTGATCTAACATACATTGGAATGAAGTATTCAGCCGATTTGATTTTTTTGAACAGTGCCGTTGGTGTGGATTCGAAAAAGGGAAATTGACGATAGAGCATCATAAAAAGAACAACGCCAAGGGCCCACATATCGGATGGTTTGCCCTTGTATGGTTTACCGCAAAGCACATCGGGTGAAATGTATGCGGGTGAGCCTCTTTGATCGTACAACAGGTCATTTTCGTTGAGCAAATATTTGCCCAAGCAAAAATTTGTGATGGTAATTTTATTGGTGGACTTGTTGAGCACAATGTTTCCCAGTTTCAAGTCGCGATGAATGATATTCCGCTTGTGTAAATTCTCCACCACCGTAACAATCTCGTAAAAGATTGTCAGCGCTTCCATTTCGGTTAGTTTACGGCGATGAATTAAGTACTGTTGCAAATTCACATACGCCGATGACTGCGGCCTGAAAGTATTCGAGTGAAACAATAGGAATTGGTTACTTTGTGGTTTATTGCGAAATACTGTTTATGGTTTACTCACTCAAAGTCATGCGGTGTCACACAATCTAACACTAAAATCAGTCGTTTTCTCAATGCTCCGGTGTAACAATTGTTATTACTGCCATTATCAGGCAATACCTCTTCATGCGCCATATCCTGCAATTGACCGAAAGTCATTAGCATATGTGAGTGTGAAACATTTTTATAGTGATGAAGACAAATAAGCCGTGTTTCGCCTGCGATGAGTCAAACACTTGCAAAATTTCACTTACACTAAACAATCCATGGTGTTGAATGACACCTTTTTCATTTTTAAGCAATGAAAGCAGCGAGAATTCCGTGTGCAACAGCATTTTCCCCTGGCGTTCATCTCGTTGCAATTTTTCATTCGATGTGTTGTTGTTCAACATCAAAATCTGTGAATTAATGTGTCGACACATTTAGCACGTGAGTCCAATCTAAATAGTTGCAATGTTTACTTTGCATTTTGTTCGTAATTCCAATACAAATGCATAGCAACAGAACACAAAAAAGGTACACGTCATGCAAAACATTACCTTTAGTTGTACGAATTCGTTGGTGTTTTCCTTTTTGGCCAAATACTGAACGATGCTATCAACTGGACTATGACCAAGTTTCAGGCCAATAATGTAAGGGCCAGCCCGTCTGAACTCTCGCCGATTCACCACTTGTCCATACTGTGGACAGACAATGGCTGCGTGTTCCGCTTCTTTTTTCTCTTCTTCATTATCACAATTATCTAGCACTGTTGCTGCTGTGTATGCCGTCGGTTTATCGCTGCGATGATCCGATGAATCGGACGATTCATTGTCATCGGTCACATCAGTCAGTATGGAATTTGACTGTTCGTCGGCGAATGTGGTCGTCGTTGGTGAATCAAGTTTACATTTTTTCAAAACGGCATCGATTTCATCGAATTTCCGTTTATTACTTTCTGTTATCACCATTGTCTCGCTATCAGACGGAATTTCGCTCGTCATCAAAGACATTTTTTCCCTATACGTTTTACTGTGTACTTCCTTGTTTTCAGATGGCTAAACGTTTTACAACAAACGCAATATCTCTTCGCTTTACGTGTCAAAGTGTAACAAACTCCGGAATTTATTAGAGCAATTTCTTAAATTTTTTCGCACAAAGAAAAATCAACGAAAAAAACTCTTCAATATGTCCGAATACAGTCAAATTACAAAACACCGAAAATTATTCAATCAGATGCTTGGATTGCAACACATTATGTCACTTTCACTTTAATTTTAAAATTTTTACTGCATTCACGTTTGTTCCATACGAGGTAAATATTATTTCTAAACGAGATTGGGAAGTCGTCGCAATCAAACTAAACAAATTCGCATGATGTAAACTAAGTAACAGGTTTCGTTTGATATTTTCCTGTTGTGACTTTCAATGTTCGGTGCTGTGCTGTATAGAATATCCAGGCGACGACGTAAAATACTCGAATGTATACACACAAACCGAATAAGAAGAAGAAAAATATCGTACACAACAAGCTGAAACACGAATACGGTATGATTGGCTCTGTCGTTTCTTTTGTTCACGATGACAGTTCAATGTAAAACTCATTCTGATGTGTTGCTTAACACGTACACCAGCTGCACCAATACACGGACATATCGCTGTGTATCTAAATGTCAAATTATGACTTGTGTACGAGAGTCTGGGGCTTTCTGGACTGTGATAGAAACGGATGATGTCACAAACTTGTGAAATTGCCTGCTTGTTTACGTGATAATTGAAGCGATTTGATTTAAACGGAAAAATATTCCATTTAAACTGACGAAATAAGTTTAGGATGTATTTTTCATAGGTAAATATGGAAATATGAAAAAAACAAAACTCCCAACCAATTTTTATAATGTAAAAATTAATTAAAAATTCTTCAAAAAATAATGAAATTGTGAAATTCAAACGGGCAATTCCAGAACATTCTGGCTGTTGCATTGTATTGCAGAACTTTTTAATCAACAATCAGCGATATTTCATCAGCTCATTTTTATATCACATGCGGATATTAACGTCAAAGTTGCTCTAAATTGATCGCATCATCCAGATCAAATTACTTCATCAATTTTTGTAAACGAAAATTTCCAAGTACGGGTTCGATTATTGTTTTTTTAAATTGATTCCGTAGGAGTGTTCTAAATGGCTTGTTGTTATACGGAAATTTATGATGCGAAAACCCAATTCAAAGTAAATAAAATCGACACATCGACAGCGTTCACGGTCAATTTTAACAAAAATGGAAATTGAAGACGGAATGGCGCCAATGAATATTATTTACGCCGTTTGACTTACCTTATATGAAGAAAACAATCATAAAAAATCGTCAAATATTCGTCAATTTCCGAACTTCGTCAATAAATAACACTCAGATTTGGTTTTTAGTATTTTTGTATTTGGAGATTGAATTAAAATTATGTTTTGTTTTAATTTAAAATTAATAGAATGTTGTTTCGTACAATTGATATTTAAGTTGTTTTGTTTTTTTTAAATTTTCGTGTTATAAGTGAGCAAATGTTTCAATTGTTGTTGTTCAGACATTTAAAATAAAACGGTTATTCCAGTTTCGATCATTTTTTTCCGAAATTAGTTAACTGGCTGGTCAGTTACAATATACGCACACGGGAAATGTGTTCACCGTTAGTGATTGATGCGGCATTATTGTTTGTTTCTTAAATTGTTACATGATCGATGTGTTAGAATTAAATAGATTGAAAGATTCCGTTGATTCAAATGTGTGTATATGCGCCGATTGAGTGTTATCAGGATGAACCAAATTCCCGCATCCATTTTTCATATTTCTCTAAATCTTGTTTGGACACACTTTTATTGCATTTGCTGATGGCTTCGCTGAAATCTGTTGTGGATACCGGCAAGTCAACCTCTTCGGTGGCCAACTGTCGAATTTGTTCCGGTTTTAAACCGGCTATTTTGCGTCGCATTGACATCATACTTGCATCGCGACACACATTCGTTATATCAGCACCAGAATAGCCTTGTAATTTACGGGAAATACTTCTCAAGTCAACACTTGGATCCAATTTTACCTCACGTAAGTTAATTTTCAACAGCGCTTCGCGACCTTCATCATTGGGCAAGGGAATATAAATACGCTTCTCAAGACGACGTCTCAACGCTTCATCAATATCCTAACAGTTACAAATGGAAGTAATTTACGATTATTTTTCCTAATAAAAAACGAGTTGAGAGTTTTAAATTTCATGTTACCCATGGAAAATTAGTTGCTGCTAACACCATCACAACTTTGGACGCTTCCTCACTACCACCAACCCCGTCCATTTGCACTAGCAGCTCCGACTTGACACGTCTAGATGCTTCATGCTCCGATTCGGAACCACGACGCGAACACAACGAATCAATTTCATCGATGAATATTGTGCTGGGAGCATAAAAACGCGCCATTTCAAACAATAATCGAACCATTTTCTCGGATTCACCGCGATACTTTGAAGTCAGCGTTGATGATGATACATTGAAAAATGTTGTGCCACATTCGGTTGCTACTGCTTTAGCCAACATAGTTTTACCAGTACCTGGAGGACCAACCATCAAAACACCTTTCCACGGACGTCGAATACCCTATGAACGCAATTACAGTTGATTTATTGTGTTTGGCTTTGGAAACGATTGTTTTTAAAAAGAGTGAAGTGTGGTTACTTTGAAATAGTCTGGCATCCACATGGGCAGCACAACGGCCTCTTCAAGCAGTCGCTTGGCTTCGGTCAAATCAGCAATGTCATCCCAGTGAATATTTGGATTCTTTTGTAAAATATCACGTTCTAACAGAGAAAGATGGGATAAAGAACTTGATTAGTTTTGTCGAAAATCACGGAATTTGATTAGACTCATAATCAAATGAATGAATGTACCGAGAATATCAACAAGGTCGCCTTCCATGTGATTGGATGCTTCGAATTTCTTTTCCTCTTCGGCTGGCTCTTCATCTTTGTGTTCCTCATCCTTTGCTTGACTAGATTCAGTGCTTCCATTTGCAGTCGGTCTCTTTCGGGCTGTATTCGGTTGACTTGAAGCGCTTCCTTTTTTCGCACTTTTTGCAGTTGCCGATGATTTGGACTGTGGGCCCTTACGATTATCGTTTTTACGATTCGAACTTGGACGCTGTTGTGGTCGACTGTATAGCAAATAAATGGAGGATTATTCAGTTACCAAATTGCTGTTTTGTAGAAAGATTATCGGCAATCTTCTTCAATTTGTACAAGGTTTCATCTCATTACGATTGGAAAAAAGTCACAAACCGGTCGATCGGAGGTGCAAACACATCGGGATCATGATGCAATGGCGGCGCCCAAACATCTGGATCCGGCCGAAACCATGCTGCGGGATCTTTGTATTCATTTTCTGTGCTTCGTGTGGGCGGTCGACGGAATGGAGCATTGTGCAAATCCATCGTCATTTCTGTTAGCTCCTTTTGAATAGATTTCATCTGTTGGTATTCCTTATTTATTTGTTGTTGAACCTAGAAATCAGAAAAAATTGCATGAGTTTGGATGATTGTTCAATAAAGATATTTCTATAGAGTTCAATACCATAGTCCATTTGCCCTTTCTCATTGGATCGCTGATGTTGACCGTGAATCGTTGCAATGACGGAATTAGGGCTTCATAGTAAATGCTCGCGCCGTCATAGTTGCCTGCATGTAAAATCAAAAATTCATATTTTTTGGTGTCATTGTGCCAAAAAAAAATGCCTAAAAAAGAGAACAGCAGTTCACTCACCGGCCAGAGCCATGTCGCGAGCCATTTTTGCATTCTCACAAATTTCCGCACTAGTAATGACCTTCGCCATGACGGTCATTCCTACGCCCAGTTGATATTTATTTCTGGTCAACTATATAAACAAAAGCAAAAACAATTCCAAATCAATTCTCAAACACACAACAAATGTCAATTGTTATAATTATTATTGATGTCAAATCCCCACCAGTTTAAAAACAAATGCAATCCAAATGGAGTTTTTTTTTTCTTCAACAAATTTTTTTTCTGCAACTAATCGAAGAGTCGAATAAATAGGTTCATGTGAACATTGTCATAACGGTGTTTTAAAAGGCAAGAGGGCAAATCGCAACAATCTTCTTTTTTTTTGGCGAACGAAAGAGGAACAAAAAAATAAAACAGAAACACGATCACATTCACTTCAGATCTTTTCCTAATATTAAAAAAATCAACAAAATTTTATTCGTGATCGAAATTTGCTGCGCGACTATTTCACATTTGTATCACTTTAATTCTAATAAACTACTATATACAACACAATTTGAACGCAAAGTATTGGTTTTTACAAAGATTTTTCGCAGATTGCACGGACAAAATTCAGTCGCAGACAAACTACGTGAACTATGTAAATTATTGACGGTCTTTGCTTCTTTCTGCTCTCTGTGTGTGCAGGTTGTGTTTCAAGGAAAGTTACATATTTGATAGATGATTCTTTCAAATGGATCACTTTTGTAGAGCGACACCAACGGCAATGATTGAAAGTATACGCTTGTCCCAACGTTTCGTTGATATGCTGCTGGTGTTTGTAAACAAACCATTGAAATGGTGAATTGTTATTGAAATTTTGCTATTTAATCGATTTTATTTAAATATCCAACATTTCAAACAGATTTTTATCACTTTATAAAGGAAACATGATGAATTTAATACAAAAAATTCCCATTCAATTTCAGACATTTCAATTTACCGCTTCAACTGCTGTCAAAGTGACGAACTACACAAACAGTGAGCAATATTCTCACCAGCTGAGTGAAACGTATCGTTGAATTGTGCTCAATTTCACAACTTTCGAAATCAACCGTGCTTATCTTTGTCTCATTGCACAAACAAGCTGTAGTCTAATTCTCAATATTATTCGGATTGTTTATGCTTTTTAGTGTTTTCTTTATCGCGCATGTGTGCAAACGACTGTCATAACAAAGTCATGTGAATTGCGATACACAAGCATTAATCTGAAAGAGAGAACGAGAGTGAAATGAAAAGTATTCTAGACATTTGTTGGTAGGTGCTTCAACTGATGAAAAATCCAATGTAAAATGATCCTATAACATACATATATGTATGTTTTGTGTGAGAGAGTGATATTGTGGGCATAGTGCGTGCTGTGAATAATTTCAGTACGATTTTGTTTGTTGTGGCATGAATATCACAGTCAATCAGTAAGGCTATAAAACTACGGTGGTCTAGAAGAAAAACTCGGTAACAACGTCCAACGGCTCGTGTCCTTGGAGTGGGTAATTTTCATTAAAAAAAATCGATTCTCTTTTATTTTCCACAGATGAATTGGGATTTTGTGACATAACACGAGACTGCTTTTGTTACTTTGCAGGGATCAAACATTCTGTGATTTTAATACATTCATTACTTCAGCTGTTCAACAAGAATTTCTTTTTCATTATCATCATGGTGAGTTTAAAGCGAGTGCATCATTTGCAAATCATCGATTAGATTGGATGAAAGTGGGAAGTAATTTTTTTTCGTTGCTCTTTTTGCAATTCCTCTGTGATTTTTTTCTTTCTGTCTCTCTATCTCTCTTTCTCAAACAAAAGTGAACTTCGATCGAGTTTAAATTCGGAATTAATTTTAAGTGGAATCATGTGATGAGTAATTGATTTAACAAAAATCAAATTTTGGTTCATTATTCTGATTGAAAAATGAAATCGTCCGCGATAACATTTCCCAGTTCCGAAATTATCTATTTAAACAATTCATTTTTGGCATGGAACGACTGAATGATGGAATGGACTATTTTCAGCGATTTTTTTTCGTATGGTTGCTAAACAAATATGTGTTCCGTAGCTCTGGTCAAATGTATTTTTTATCAAAAGAATTTTATATAGAAATTGAGCAAATGCACCAATCAACATATTTTTTGCAAAGCAACAATTCTACACTGTCAGAAGCTTTATTTGTGCGAATTTCAGAATGCCAAACTATAAATTCAATGTCAACGAATTGGCGTTGAATAATAGCGGCTATTCTATTTGCAAAAGAGAAAGAAAAATAGATATTATTGTGTTCAGTGGCCAAAATATTATTCGACGGTGGTCGTGTGCTCGGTAGCCATATAATCTAAATATAAACTGAGTTGTGAGAAGCATCGTTTGCCACCCGCAGAAAATTCACATCGCCGAAATCACATATTGTGAACAAATGAAAATATGACCTTCGTATTTGTCATTTTGAGTCGGTGAAAAAAGCAGGCGACTGCGTTATCTCTCCAATCTAATGTATTACAACATCGCAAGAGTTCATTACAACAGAGAGTGGAACCGATCAGTTTAACTAAATGTTGACTCAAAATGCCAATTAGTTTTAATTGAATGCAGCTCTGAGTCGAATGCATTCATTGTGCAAATTGCATATATATTTATGTTTACGTTGAGTGAAAAATCATTCTAGTTGTTCGCTCTGCATCAAATGGCAATGGAACGTGAGGCAGTTCAAAAGTCACAACACAACCACATTCCACAAAGTACATTTCAACCCGTTTCAGTGCCATTTGTAAGTTGGTTCACTGCAGCTAATTTACACAGTGTGCACGTAGTCAATTTAGAGTGCTTAAACAAATAGGCTTGAGTAAAAATAAATCCATGGCAACTAACGAAAACGGAAGCAAATACTTTTTTGTTGCAATATTTCATTGAGCTGTCAACGTGTGATTAATGATGCTGTCTTGTTTTAAATCGCAGGCAAGCGGTGACAATGTTCCAGTTGTTTGGATTTTGGGTGGACCAGGAAGCGGTAAAGGTACACAGTGCGCCAAAATCGTGGAGAAATTCGGATTTAGCCATTTCAGCACAGGCGATTTGTTGAGAGCCGAGGTGTCCGCTGGCTCGGATAAAGGCAAAGAACTTGCGGCAATCATGAAACGTGGCGATCTCGTTCCAAACGAAGAAGTTTTGGACTTACTTCAAAAAGCAATGAAAGAAGTTCTCGGCAAATCAAAGGGTTTCTTGATTGACGGGTAAACAATGTCTACTATTCAAATGATTTTATTCAAACCATTTATATTATCCAATTCAAATATTTTTGAACAGATATCCACGTGAGAAGTCACAAGGTGTTGCTTTTGAAAAAACCATTGCCCCAGTGGATTTGATTATTTCGCTCGAATGCACACCGGTAATTTTACAATTTTATTGTTTGCCAACTGTCAATTGCAATGTTCAATTTTTCTATTGTTCTGATCAAAATAGGAAACAATGGTATCACGTATTTTGAAACGCGCCGCTGAATCCGTCGAAAAGCGTGCTGATGATAATGAAGCTACCATCAAGAATCGTATTGAAACGTTCATCAAGAACACCGACGAAATTTTGATCCAATATCCAACTCAAACCAAGCGGGTGAGTTCCGATCAATTTAGTTTTCATTTTTATGGACAAAATTGAATTTGTTATTTAAAAATTTCTCTTTAAAAAAATGACTTCAATCATATTTTGATTGTCACAGGTTAACGGCGAGCGTGACGTTGACCAAATTTTCGACGAAGTTTCACAAGTCATCTCAGAAGTCGTGGCCAAAAAATCATGAACATCATCACGCACAACAAACAATTTCGACAATATTTAATTTGAGCAATACATTTTTGATTCTTTATGAGGCTCTTTTAAATTATCTTAATGAATTGAATCTAATCCCGATTTATCGGCAACAATGTATTCACCAAAGACCTAAAGTAAATGACATCAAATTAAAACAAATCGTATCTTTTTCGCGTTTCACAAATTGAATCTCTTCTTTTTTTTCTTGTAATCTGAATGGTTAATTGATGTAAAATGTTCAAAATAAAAAGACATACTTTGGAAATCAAGATTGACGGTTTTTTATTTCTAATTTGTTTAATAAAAGATTCATTATATTACGATGGTTTAACTATAAATCCAATTTATTTTCTACTGTGCGCGGTATTTAGGTCAGATGAAAAAAGCCCTTTTGTCAATAGGTGTGATGATCATCGATTAAACAAATACAAATGGTACAAAGCGGCAATCGGTTAAGTTGCATAACAACAGATTTTCATTACTGTTTCGAATAGTAACAATGTCAAAAATTGTCATCATTTTAAATGAAGAATTTTGGTGACAGTTGCAAATTCTTCGCCAATTGAACAGACATATTTCTAGGGGGATTTCCCGGCTTATTTTATTTTCTACAATAATGCCGAAGACACCCAATTGTTATATTGTTACAGTAGCGAGAAAAACGCAAAAAACCTATTTTCCGCTCAATGCTGAGTTGTGCCACTTTTACTCGCAACTTTATGTCTCTTTTTTGCTCTAAGTTTTTTTCCGTCACAGTTATGGATACAGAGCTCATAAGTTTTTTCTTTTTTTTATGGGTGTCAATTAATTTGCTACATAGTCGAAAAAAAAAATAATTGAAAAAGGCGAAAGAACCATTTCCTTGTACAAAGAGCTGAAATGACAAGAATAAAAAGCGCAACAATTTAAACTTCCCATTGATTTATTTGGTCTTAGTTTTCTACTGCTACACATAAAATTAAACGTAATATTGTTTATGAAAAAAAAACAGAAAAAGAAATGAACTTAATAAGATGAATTCATCATAATATAAAAGAAAAGGAAAATGTTACACATACAAATACAAAAAATGTTGGACGAGAAACTCAATTGCAGTAATAATCTAATTATTAGATAATATTAACATTCGAATAACGTATCGAGTCGAATGGTATTTTTTTGTGTTTTTTTAATTCCTTATCAATATTGGATTTTCGTTTAAGAGTTGTGTGTTTTTGTATTTTGCATCTAATAATTGGGATGTTTGCATGTGAATAAAGTTGAGTAAATCGTGTTGATGTTTGCACATTTTTTCCTTTGTTGTTGTTGTTTGTAGCTTATTTTATCAAAATACTTGTTGCTTGTGGATTTGGGCTGGAGCTTCTTCGTACCTCTTCGATTTTCTCATTTAGAATTGCTTTGATTTCATCGGTTGTTTTCAACATAAAAATGGGTACATCATCATCCCGACGTTGAAATAGCATTTCACCCTCGAAATCGACAAATTTATGCTTTCGGGCTCTCAGCAGCAATCCAACCAGTTTGTCATTGATGCATGTGTAAATCTGTTTGCGAAATTGAAAATTGGAAAATTACACTTTTTTTGTAAGTAAAATTAAAGATTTGTGCAGAAAATGTCCCAACAATAATATGTCGTTGAGAAAAATTCAACTAAAAACATCACCATTCACTTGATCTTACATTGAACAGTTCGCCAAAAAGAATCACTTTCAATTTTGGATTGTCTTCATTATGTGCATAACCCTCTGAATGGATAATTTGACACAATTCGAGCATTTCTCTGAACACATGAATATTCGCTTTTTGCCCCCGTGCCTCAGTCAAACTGCCAGCTATCGGTCTGAAATTGAATAAATCATTTTTTTATTACTTTTATTCAACGTTTTTGTTTTTATTGCAATTCTCTCAGAAAAAAAATTCCATTGTCACTCACTTTCCATATTCGTCTTTGCTGAATTTTGGTCGTGGCGATCCTCGTTCGTTCACGCTTGTAAATGGGTTCAATAGCTGTGATTCCTTGTGGCCATTGGCTGCATTGTTGAACATTGCTACTTTTGATGATAATGGAGCATCCTAAATTATTTTCAAAAGAACAGAAAAACAGTGGTTTAGTCTCGCTAGATTTTGATGGTTTTGTCATTTATTGCGATTTATCTTTAACACAAATTGTCTCGATAATACTACAAAGTCGAACACTCAAGGTGGCCTGCATAAAATGCACGATTTCGACACACAATGAAACATCAAATGCCGATTTATTTTTGGATTTGGGCTCTCAAATTGCTGCTGTACTGTTCAAGTTGTGCAAAGCAATTGATAATTTTCATCTGTTCATTTTTTAAATCGTCCTGAACGATTTTCAGTGTGCAACATTATTGTATGCATCATTATACTTGATCAGCATGTGAATCGGTCGTGCACAGCCCGTGCTATTCACTTTCGATATCTATGTCTGAGAATCTCCCATTTAGTTTCGGCTACAGTCTGTGTATGTGTGTGTGTGTCGTTGTTCACAGACAAAAGATACACACATTTATTTAAATAATGTTAATTAATTTTTACGAACTAGTGTTATTAGATATGCGCTGGTATTTATTAAAAATGAGAAAATCTCGGTGTGGCTGATCAAAACTGAAAGAGAAATTTTTATTGTGGAAATAAATGCTGAGATCCACATAAGAATACAATGGCATGAACATGCGGAGAAATTTACGATTTTGAGTTTGTAACTCTTCGCTGCTGTTTTGTGCTATTAATTAGTTTCATATTTATGGAATTTTTTATGCATTAGCTGTACAAACACCCAGAGGAGAAGAAGAAGAGGAAAGAAAAACGGCATTATGAATTGTGGGTGCATCGCATCGCAAGAATGTGCATAGTTCGTTTAAAAAGCACACAAAAGTTCATAGTGTCACGTTAACTGTAAAAAGGGAAAGTCGGAGCAAAGACACCATTTTTCCGTTTTCTAAAAATGTAAACGAGAAAATAATTGTTTTCAATTTGGAAAAAATAGGTTACAATTTGTAACTTACAAGTGTCCTCCGAACCATTTCAAAGTGCATCGCAATTTCCTTTGACAAATATCGATTTGCTTTTATTATCTCGATTTTTCAATTTTTATGCGTTGTTGGCCAAGTTAAAGGATGTCTATTTATATATCTTTTCATATTTTTTTCTTTTATATACAGATTCAATTCAATATATCATATTACAGTGTGACCCATCGACCTATAATTTCATTTAAATTGGTATCAAAATGTCACATCATTTCACACACACAAATTTCATATGGTGAACGAATTTGCATTGAATTGGAATTTTCTTCTAATTGAACCATTCAAAACGTCATTTTATACAATAGATAAAAAGTTGTTGGTGGAGAAAAGTTGAGGTGTTATCAAGCGGCACCTCAACAGCCAGTGAGCGTCTATCTAAAAATATCAACAGCTGTTACGACACAGAAACTTCAATAGATTGTTATCGTAATATGTTATAATTTCAGGGTCTTCAGTCAGCTCTCGATATCTTAAGCTGTTTCTTTGCGTTTGTGTTTTGGGTTTTCATTCGTTGCATTGTATCGCAAGTAGACCGATGCATTGTGAAACACAAAAAGAAACGGATAGAGAAAGAGAGAGATTTAATACACAAAGCGAGACAATGAATGAATCACTGCGAAATGAAATGAAAAGAAAGAAATAAAATGTGAATAAATTATGCATTCAATTTGACCGATAACCACCAACAACAATAATAATAAACATAACGCAATGTGTTGCATCCATATCATTATAACGGTATCAAATTCGTGTTTCGAATGAACAATGCAAAAGTGTCTCTGTGTGCCTACTTCTATTTTGTTTTGCACTTAATTATATATTTTTTTCATTAAAAGTAAAGCAAAAAGCAAATATTATTCGATAATTGAAGGGAAATGAGTTTTACATCCGTCACATGAACATATCAATTTCTGTTGTAGATGAAAGTGTTGTGCAAATCTAATTAACTCTGCAGAAATGCCGACAAGTCTTTTTGAATATTTTAAATAAATTGCAAGAAAGTGAAAAAAAAAACAATCTAGTACTTAGAATGCACCTGTAATGTGGTGAATTCATTGAGAGAAAAAATGCATCAGCAGTAGCAGTGTGCTGGCGGAGCGACTTGAGAGATTTCCTCGTGCAGAGGTGTTGGCAATCGGCAACACTTCTTCGCTATTAGTCATAGTCTAGGTGTGGGAGCCGATTTAATTAGATTTAAATCTGAGTAATGGAATGTGTCATTTTTTTGCTAATTAATTGCCCAATATTATCGCGCCGTTTGTTTGCTTCGTGTAGCAAATGCTACACTCGAATGAATGTCTATTGCGCATGAAATGCGATTGATTGACGTTGCCACCGTTACTTCGATCAGCACCCTCGTTTGGATCGGTTCGAACAAATCGTTAAGTCAAATGTCTCTCAGGCTACCGAGTTTTTTTTTTCGTCTTCATTCTTTTGTCGTTTGCATTTGTTGGCACGTGCACAAGAATGCGCTTCGAATCTGCATCTGAAGTCAATCATTTCGAGCGATGCTCTTAAGCAGTCGATTTTTCGTGCAGCGTGCATTTTTGACACAATTCTCTCATCCGCATTTCGCTGTGACTTCATTTACCCAGACAAATGAGAAACGACTGAATTGACATTGAAATTTCTGATGGCCTAACGGGAAACTGCCACTATCGCCGCCACCGCCGCCGTTTCAAATCAAAATATTAACCAAATTCTTGACGTGTTATGCGCCATCGAATCGAATTGCAATGAACATTTTGGTGGTAATAAAAATTCCGAGTTTATTGCACAGCTGCCATATCAAGTCAGAATGTCGAGCCCGATTTGTGAAAATTATAAAGGAAAACAAATTCATGCACATCCAATTCAATGTAAATCGATAGGGAAATGAATTTTTGAAGCGAACGCAAAACGAAGAAGAAGCAGAAGAAAAAATTGCAACGAAATTTGAAAGAAAAACAAATTATTTCCACAAATGCGAAATAACTGAATCGTTCAATTTGTGCACGCAGCTGAAAATACCCAACCAACACCAAAGTCGTTCAATCAAATGTAATTTATGCACATTACAAATCGTATTTTTCACCTCACACACAATGCGTATTTGCACAATCTCATAATGTTACATAAAATGATGTTTTTTTGCGCGAGAAATTGCATTTGGCTGCCTGCTCAAAAGAACCGTACGGCTCATTCAATTAATTTGATTTGTTTTGTCTTCTCGTTCGCAAGACACAAGCTATTTGCTTGTGCCGTCGTTTTACCGATTTGAAATCTTCGAACAGATGATTTGTGACGAAAGAAAGCACTTTTGAAGTGACGACTTTTTTTTCTTCACTCTTCAACGGTTTCCTTAATTTGTTTTGTGCGTGTTTTGTTTTTAGTTTATTTCAATGGTCTTACCACAACGAATCTGAGTGCGCTGAGTTCATGGTCTACGTCTGCCATTTTGATTTATGTGAATTTGGTTGTCTTGTCTTTTGTCTAATTATCCTTAGCACCGAAACTCGAAATAATCACTTGGTTCTGGCCTGGTTCAGTTTATATTCTCTTTGTCTCTTTGAAAAAATCGATTTAATTACCACTTTAATTCACCGTTTTTCCTCAACCGGAATGAAATCGAATGGATTTTTGGATTTTTCTAACTTTTTCCTTAAAATTTCTTTCTTTGGAACAACTTCAAAACTCTTTGCCGCTAACACAAAAAAATCTAGTTTAAAAAATGCGCGCGTAGACAAATTCTCTAAGTTGCTCGTTGGTTTGTTGGCCGAATTGCTTGTTGCTCGGAGCGATAATCTGACACGAATGAGACTGGTTGCTCAGTTTCACAGTGATATAAGGATTGGAAAGTCGCCACTTAAGATTCAAACACACGCGCTCATTCGAACGCCCGCCCGCCCCATCGTTCCCACACTTTGATCGTAGTAGCATCGACGCCGTCGCGACGGACAAACAATCTCACACACGTTCACCGATTTGGTGACGTTCGTTTGAGATCACTTAAAAATAACAAGAGAAGAAACACACACAAAATTCCTCTAATCTGAACAATAACGAACGAAACAACAAACAACTCGAGCGAAAGCACTGTCAGTGTGCCGTGCTGCGATGAGCTTGTATTTGTGCAATTGTGTCGGCATTCACTAGTCACTTTACAAACGAATCCGTTATAAAAGTGTGCGCATTTTGTTTGTTGGTTTTGTTATGTGGCCCGATGGCGCGCGCGCGCTGAGCATATAATAATAAAAAGCGAATATGAAACTTGAGCCGCGAAATAATTCAAAACAGCAAGCCAAAAGTAACGACCGACTAGCAAATCGGAATGCACACGAGCGGGGCAAGTATGTGAACATCTGTTGTATGGCAAAGGCGTACGCTTCGTTTTTCTCTTTCATTCTCGTCTTAATTTGTGTGCGGAAAAGCGGTCGAATTGTTTCCTTGTGGCTTCAAATTTCCATGCCAAACCCAAAGGAAAAACCAATCAATGTGTCAACAACTGGCCATGTGTGTTTCTGTATCCTTTGCAGCACAAAGGAATTTAGGAAATCAGAGGCAATCTCTTTGAATCGATTCGTTTGCATTGAAAAGAATAATTCAATGAAACTTCTAATGCACAATTGGTTTTTATTGAACTTATTTTCAATCCTTTTCAAAAGATTTTCAATGACTATCGATCGCTTTGATCATCAGGGATTCCCCTGAGCTCAAAAATGAAAACGAGCAAATAAATCAAGCTGACGACACTTCAGTACAAACATCATTTGAGCGCTCGCAGCGCCACGAACTCTCGTATCATTTTGTATTGACTTTTCGATAGTTCATGAGTTCGCCGTAGACTTCGTCAAAACGTGTCGTCCCTTTGAAATAAATCAGTTTGCTGAAATAAAAAAAAATCCGACGATGAATAGAAAAATAGTGGTCATCAAAGTTTTTGTTTTTGCACAAATTTGTCCGTTAGACGAGGCGTAGAAAATAGATGAAAGCTTCGACTCACACCCGCTAAATAGAATAGCGTAATTAGACAAAAATAGTTGTCATCGTCTCTAGACTGCAAGACACATTTGAGTTTTTTTTCGAGAGATGACAAATTGTTATGATTTTCATTCAGCTCCGCCGGAATTTAATTAGATGAATATTCAAATCTTGGAAGATTTGCCGAAATGACTTCGGTTAGGGCGATTTCAGTTGTAGATTTTATGTAGCTTATTGTAGTGTATTTAATTCATTCATACGAAGGTACGAGAGCAAAAAAATGTTGCTATTTCATGTTAATATCACGAATATTTACATAATTCACGCAAACCAATATTTAAAGTGTGAGAATGAAATGTAAAAGCATCGTCGCTATTTATGGCTTACAAAAATGATGGAATTTTCCATTGATCGTCGCAAAAATTGCTGGCAAAATGCCATCAGATGAAAGAGAATTCTCTCACGAGTACTTTAATCGTGTTTAAGGCGATGTAAGCTTCTATTATTTGACCGAAATCATAATTCAAAAGTGAGCAGCTAATAAACATAAAGATAAGCTGTCTTTGAGTTTTCGCGTGCGTTGGTTTTTTGAATAACACAAACATTTCATCCGTTTAGACTATTTTGATCTAACATTCTGTGATCAAGTCGTATATTTTAAGTTGAACGTCGATGTTATTTTTCTCTCCCTCTCTTGTATGTTTCCCAAAAACTTACATAAAAATGAAGCACAACGATTTGTCGATTGATTTATTTTTAGCGTTGACTTAGATCTAGTCAATATGAAGCCGATATGCATTCGCAAACACATTGTTATTCATCTATTTCTCCATCGATCCTGGCATTGGTCGTGAAATTAGCTCGAAGGAAGTGTCATTTCAACGATCTATTTTTACCACGATAGGAATCTCATTATACGACGATACACTCAGCGAGAAAAAAAAAAAACAAACAAACTGAAACCGTTAAGCTGTCATACATTTTTTCTTTCACTTATGAAATTATCAAATCAGCGTTGTTACCATATGCAAAATGAACGAAAAGAAAAACGTTCAAAATTTGCTCGTCATAAATCTTCAAATGAAAAATGTCGACTCGAATGACCCGTTGAACACCTACCAATGAAGCGTAACACGCAAATCGTTCAACAAAATGAGGCAATGCATAATCAGAGTGGCAACATGCCAACAAATCACCTCAAACCGAAGCCTCTTCAAATAGCATGAGCCACCTCAAACTCGTTTGAATCGATCGCAATGTATTTCGTGACAGTTACGACAGCACATTTTCATGAATGAATCGCGTTCGAATAGGCAAAGCATGCATTTTTAATCATATACGCGTATTGTGGGTTGTTTCATTACCGTAAATGATGCCGCGACGTTCTTTCTCTCTTTCCTTTCGATCATCACATCAAAAATAAGCCGATGCTCGTGTGTGTGACAGGATGAGCAGTAGCAGCAGCAGCAGTTTCTGAATCATCGCAAATAAAAATATTTTCACACGTTTCCGTTTCAATCGATTTGTTTATGATGTACAGCGTAAACAACATTCGAGATCTTTCATTCATGGGTTGTTTTAGTTCTACACACGTAGATACGATCACGAGGTTAAGGCTGTGGTGCCAATAAAAGCGTTAACCCTAAGTTAGATCAAAATTCCTGTCCCAGTTGGCTTATAAGTCAATAATTGCCCATTTTCCGGGACCATCATATCGAGATTTATTTTCTGTTGCTCTTATTATTATTTTTAATACACAAGCCCAGTGCGACAATCGATTTCCGCAATAAAAATAGATGAATATATATTATTATTTCAGTTTTCATATCACATCCTGGTTGGACACATGTATCGAAATGGCGCCAGTAAAAAAAGAACGTTCGGTGCGAGGCGATTAGAAAGTATGCATATAATATAATGAAGAAACGGAACTGTCCACGAGAATGCCTCAATTATATATCATACATCTATACTGTATTACTGAGTTATGTGCGGAGAGTCCAATTTCTGCTAATAATAGCGCCAGTATGTTTGGCAAGCGTTCGGCCTTGGCAAATGTAAACAAATAGCTGAATGAAACATGAAAGACGAAAAAATAAATATATATCAACTTTCTCATAAAAAAAACCTTTTCTTTTATTTGTGCATATAAAATGAGAGGCAATCTTTTGAATCATTATTTTATTAATATTTGAGTCGTGATTGGGAAAACATCTGCGCCAACGGTTCAAATGAATCAGATTTTTAAGGAATTTCGTGATCGTCGCTTGTTTGACGTCACCGCATCAAATTGACTAAGACGAAGTTTTGCACTAATTAAAACAAATATTTATATCAGTTTTTTATTCGTGACGCAAAGACCAGAACACACTCACTTTTTTGTTTACGATAGACAGGCGAGACCATTTTTGGTGATTTTTACTATATTGGCTACACGTGCTGCAGCGGAGGCCGGCATACTTTGGAACATTTCATTAAACGCACATACTTTTATGATGCTCAAGTGTTGGCCAATTTATTTATTGCTGCCATTTCATCCAACACATGAATTGCGGGCGAGAGCGATAGTTCCGTTCGAGTAACATCCAATTTCATGCATCGAATATCCCAAGATGCAATTTCATTTCATTATATAATTGCGTTACACAATTGTATCAATCTTCAAGTCTATTTATCAACGAATCAAATTGCATTGATATCTAATTTGGCATCAATCCCACTGCATCACAAGCAAATTTTCTCGCGCATTCTGTATACAATGTGCATTGTACACAACATACTCATTACATAAAGTTCATTAACAAAAAAGCGAAAAATTCAAACCGTCACACTAGATTTCAACAGAAATACGATTGTCACAAAAGATACTCAATGTAGTCGCAAAAATGGTCCTCCCTGGGCAGCCGCATTTTTCACTCAATCCCTCCATCGGTTCAGTTGACGGTGGTTGTCATCTGCGGCAACCAACTTCACTCTGTTTTAGTTGGTCGTGTAAAATGTCGGAGTTAAAGTAAGTGTCTTGCATTTTTTTTTTGCGAAAAAAATGATTTTTTTATGCATAAAATCATGATCGTAACGCATTTTATGGAAAATCCAAACCATTTTCCGTGTGTTAAATATCAAAGAACGTCGTTGTATCCAATTTAATTGCTTGAAATATGCATTTTTCAATGCAAACATTCGATACTGTCTGTTTCACCGAGGGTTGACAGGTTATGTTTTTGGAACGTCAACCAAACATATTTACATATCTATAGCATTTATTTATTTCAATAAACCTAGTTGGTTTTTTACCCCAAATAATTAAAGTGCCATTAAATTTAATCAGATAGCAGATAATCGATAAAATTCAGTGCCAGCGATAAGTTTGATGGAAATGTGCATTGTGTGTTGAGTGAAGTTTCTAATGAAGTTTTGTTCATTTTGTTTTCAGTGAGGATATATTAAACTATGATGAAATCGGCGATATTGATGCGGACGACACTCACCTAACTGGAGCCGATGAAGATGAGCTCTTGCTTTCAGATGATGGTAATTTGATAAAATGCAAATCGTTTCCTTTCACTCCATTTAATTCCATATATAATTTCCAGAATCGATATCGGGTAGATTGGCAGCGAACGAAGCTGAAGATGATTTGTTGTCCGAGCAAACAGAAAGCGAAACGCAACCGGAACGATCAATTGATTTCGACTCGCAAACGATAAGTAACAATGCATCACACAGCAGTGACAATAAGGAAAAACCCACTGAAATCAGAGCCAACTCACCACCGGCCGGTCGCAAGAGTCCATGCATATCGCCGGAAAGTGATTTAGTGTCATCGACTAACAAAGAAGATGAAGAAATTTCCGTACAGCCGACACAGTCGCAAAGTGTGTGCGACCAAAAAGATGATGAACAAAGCTTTGCCGAATCGGACGAACGATCCGAATCAACGGCAAATGAAAAGAGTGAGGTGAGCTATAGTCAAAGTGAACAAACTGATAATAAATCAGAGTCGACGTTTGTCAGCCAAGATGCTTCGGAGGAGACGAATACGGAACGAACATCGGACGATTATGATCCAGATGATTCGGAAGATGTGCGCGAACGACGCAACCCGAAAACAACAAATGAACGTGAAATGCCACATCAATTCGAAGACAATAGCAAGCCGAAGAATTTTTCACAGAACTATCAACGAAATCGACACATACGACCTCAAATGCCTAGACAGAATCATCCATATGGTGGTCCAGGAGGTCCAGATTTTAATCCACAGTTTATGCCGCAATTTCGCGGTGCTCGACGACCGATGCTACCCAATTCACAGCCAGAATTTATGCGCGGCCATACGATAAGTATGATGCGCGGTCCACCAAATCATATGCAACGCATGCCACCGGGAATGCAACCACATCCATCACGTATGCCAGTTGGACCGGGTCATTTGGGACCGCCACATCAGCGATTGTCACGACCTCCGTTTCAAACCGGGCCCGGAATGTTTGGCAACAATCCTGGAATGCCACCGCAAGGTAAGTTCATTAAAAATTTATGCCAATTTTTGTTTAATTCGAAAAGTGCAAACGAAAAGTGTCGTTTCGAACTTTATTGAAATTTTTTTTTTTATTCATAATTAAACTCGCTTCGAATCATTTCATTGTTTTGATCATTTCAGGTATGATTCGTCCAAGAGTTCCACCAAATGCTCACCAGATGATGCCGCAACGACCTCCATTCGGTCCATATTCACAACCAAATCATCCGGCGAATATGCGACTTCCAATGAATCCATCGATGCCACCACACGTACAACCTATGAACCCAGCTATTCCAGCACAGTCTTTGCCCCTACCACTTCTTAACGCTCCTCGCAAAGTGCTTATCAATCCAAATTTCAAAGGAGGCGTTCAAGCCGCTACAAGTAAGTCATTTTTTCTTCTTAATCCTAACAATAACGGTTTTCGTTCATCCGATGAAGTTCATTGTTTATCTTTTGACTGCCAGAGATTAAAAATCGTGTAAACTTACTCATGAACGTTTCGCATTGTCTTTTAGATCAACTTATGTTGGACACGATGAAGAATTCGCAAATAATGGAAAACAGTCGAGAGGCGGAATTGTTGCGTCAGCAAGAAGCATTTATCAACCAAAATCGAATGCACATTGAGAAACGGCGTCGATCCAGAGAGCATTCACCGGAACGTGACCGTGAGTACCGTGATAGAGATCGAGAGAGAGAACGAAGCTATTCGCCACCTCGTCGAAGAGAGCGGGACGCAAGAAAACCGTATCCGTCGTCATCCAGAGAAAATCGAAATCGACGAGCCGACAGCCGGGATAGAGAACATCCTGATGCAAAAAAAAAGCGCAATGACGCCGATGGAAATGTTGATAAAAATGACCCAAAGGTAAGAATTGTTTTTAGTCGCTGTTAAAGTCTTTTTTTTAAATTGAAAACTAACTGATCGACGAACAAAATCTCACTATTCTGAATGAATAGACTGAAGAAGATGAAGAGACACGAGCCTATCGACTGATGATTGAAAAACAGAAGGCGCAGCGTGAAAAAATCTTGCGAGATAAAGAAATGCGACGACGAAAAGCAGCTGAAGACCTAAAGAAAGAAGAGGTAAGTTAAGTTTTGTGTAATTTTTAAAAAAAATGTTTGGATTCATAAAACATTAACGAATTTTAGTTCAAATGAAACTAATCATTTGCTTCTATTCCACATATTAGGAGAAAAAGGTGAACGTCGATGAACCATTGCAAAAGTTTACTCCGATCGTGGTCACGGAGAAGAAAATAATTTCATTGAAAAAGAAGGCGGCCGATGGGCCAAGTGATCAGCCATCGAAACCAAAAAGCATAACATTGGCACGGAAAGTGCACACATCATCGCTGTCCGAGAATTCGGAGTCGGGTTCTCAGGTGAAAACTGTACTACGAAGTAGTACAACCATATCGAAGAAAATTCGCATCGATGACGAGGAAATCGATGAAGACGAATTGCTAGCTGATTCGCCACCATCAACACCAGCGCCCATTGGTGACGCATCGATGCTCAAGAGTCGAACAAATGCATCAAAAGTTGGCGACATTCCAACGACCATGTTTACAAATCGGCGTGTTGTTGTGCGCAACACCGACACCGTCACAAACAATGAAAACAATCTCAACGCAAACAAAGCGACCGCCGGCACTGGCAAAGGAATATTCGATCGGCTAGACAAGAAGGTAATTAGCGTGAACGAAGCGGCGAAGCGAAAAATTCAGCGGATCGTAATCAATAACAGTGAATAATGTGGGTTAAGCATAATTCAACTATCGTTCTGCTCCGACTAAATTGCATTGGTTTGTTATCCAAACTTATAGACATTTAAGAAAAATCACACAAACACACACACACACACACACACACATTTTTTTGAAACCGACTTTGAAGTCATCCTAAGCACTACTTACTATTCAGATATAGCTTTGAGGCATGAATAAATGAAACCGACATTCAAATCCCACTCTGTTTACATAAACTTTTAAGCAAAAAGTGATTATTATCGAAAGAAGAAGAGAAAATTGTCCGTTGTGCTTTTTGTTTTACATTTTTGTTTGCATTTCCGTGACAAAATCCAATTTTTTTTTCGGAAATACATTTGTCATTCATGTCCCTTTAGAAGCAGAACAGAAAAAAAATCTTGTTTCATCAATTCCTCAGTATTTGTTTTACCGAGAATAGAATTCAGCCTATTCTTGCACAGTCGACACTAAATTTTAATTACGTTTAAGTTGTCAATTTATATTTTGATTGTTTACATTTTGCATTATTCATAAGCAATTTTTTTTTGCTAAATTAACATTTTCCCTCTTTAAAATGCCCAAAATCGCAAACTCAAACCTCTTTCGATGGGAGTGAGAACAATATTCCAAATAGCAAAATCAAAATTGCCTTCATATTACGAAATAACACAATATATGCAAATATAGTAAAGCCGAACATTTATAAACTTTGAACATTTAGAAATATGTAATGATGTCGATTTCTAACAGAAGAAAAATAGAGTGAAAAAAAAAAAACAATTAGTTAATAGTCTAGAATTCTCAGAACAGAATCATTGCTTTGATCATTTAGTGTTTAAAAGCCATCCTAGGGAGAGAAAAAACCATTTTGTTGAACAATCAACTGAAAAATTGTTCAATTTGCAAAAACCGATCACATTTTAATTTCATTGTACCAAATGCAAGTTGGATTTACAAAAAAAAACACACGTAAAATGCTGTCCTGGTGATAATGGAGCACATTCGTTGCATGTCATTGCCAGTCAACGAATTTGCATAAAAAATCAGCGATCGCAATGGAATGAACGCAAATGCTCCAAATTATGAAAGAAATGAGAATAATTTGAAATTAAGACAATTTTATACAAATTAAATGTAAAGAAGAAGAAGATAATGAGGAAAGCTGAATCGCCAATCGTGCTGTATGAGTCATCAACATAGGAAAACGATGTGAATTGCGATTATGCATATTTATTTTATTGGAACAAAATGAATCATTTATAGATTCGCTAAGAGACAACCACAGGAAAAGTATGTTATGCGATATTTTCTAGGATTTGAATAATATCTCTGACTCTTGTTGAGACAGAGCCGAAGGCGAGAGAAATGGATATGTTCGCTATAAATATTTCAACAGAAAAAAAAGCGTTGAATGAATTAACTGCCTAACTCATAATGGAATTATGTTAACGATTCACTAAACAAAATCATTTCGACACTCAACTCAAGAAGTAACGGTTACGAAATTAATTTAGATTTATCTTAATTTTTTTTTTTGTGAAAATAATTATTGTATATAATAGGGCTTTTATTGGACAATGAGTGTTTTTCAAGCTATCAAAAGGACACAAATCTAATTTTATTTGATCCCCCTAATCAATAAATACAATTACATCTCAAAAGTGATGCATCAAAACTTATGAGCCGTTTTTCTTCTTTCGTCTTCATAAAATTGACCCATTTCAGGTGATACGCATGTTCACGGAGTTATTGAATAAAATTGGTGAGTGTTGAACGAAAGGTAAGACAAAATTGTTCACCGGTGCTCTTTGCGAAGAATAAACTTTGCCTTAGAATTAAAAGAAAGAAAAACCATTTCTTTGATCAAAGTAAATATTAATGAGCAAATAACAATTGATAGCCAATGGTAATTTATGGTTCAGTTGTCAACACATTCATCACACGGCAAATATTTCTCGTGTGCTATTTTCGGAGCGTATGGTCTAGAAGTCGGCTTTTCAACATTTTTTCGGCGAAACAATGTATAACGGCAAATTATAAAACAGACACAAAACCATATTCCAATTGTATCATCTTTGTTTCGAATCAAAATCACATCACCCCAGAAACAAATATTCATTGTTGCATATCAAGAACAACTTTAAAACTGAAAAACAAATTACATTCCATTATGAACAACTAGCGACCTCCGGTGCAGTTCTATTGCGACTGTAGAACAGTGTCAATGTGAACGAAATTACAGCTGATTTGAAGGCCAATCAGCAAAAAAACCATAAACACTCAGCAAGTTCATTTGATAAGACACAATCTCTCATGAAATTGTACACAAAAAATTAGAGTAAACGAAAATTCCAGCTGTTTATCCCACGTCAATGGTATGTGCTGGAAATATCATGAACGAATATGTAGCGTACTAAATGTAAAAAACCACGTCAGTGTTATAGATTCACTTTCACATTTCATCGATTCGTCACAATGTTACATACATTAAACATTAGCAATGAACTACAAAACGTTTCTCTCTAGTTTTGTGAAACACGAAGAGAAAAAATTGAACCATCTAAAATGAGTAAGCCGAAAAAAGAAACAAATATTGTTTATCTGTCATAAACTTTCAAAACGATTTGAAAATATACACGTCGTGTGTAATTTAAATTCGTCCGCTAGATGTTGCATCACCCCGTAAACCATATGCGAGCGAACGAATGAATGCGATGTGTCTCGCTCGTTGTAGATACGTTGCTCTCGCTTTCTCGCACATTCGAAATGTCAATCCGCCGTCGTCGCTCTCCGAACGTGGCCCAATCGCCACACTACAAGGAACTCAACGTTTCAACCAATCAGAACGAACCACGCCAGACTGTCAGCATTCATATATACGCGTTGCGGCGAAACTAAACTCAGTCATAAGAGAAAATACGAACACAGAAAATCAACTGAACCATTACTGAATTATTCGTTGAACAGTCAAGAAGAAAAACTCCCGAGCTAAAAAAAAAAGAGCAGTTCAAAGAAACTCAATAAATTTAGTGAATAATAAGTTAAACTAGATCAAGTAGAATAATAAATTGTAAGTAAACATTTTCAATTGCGAAATTTTTAGCGAATTGAAGTTATAAAAATGGTTGAAAGAAAAGAAAAAAATCGAATTTTCTCCCCAATGTGAGCCGGTGCATAAAAGTTTCAGTGATATGAATGAAAGAAAATATGTTGAAATCATAGCAAACCGTAGTTCTCTGTGTCAGTAGTAAATGGTTTTATGTTATTTCCAATTGAACTATTCGATTTGTGGAATATTTTTCGAAAAATACCGAATAACGTCTACTGCAATTTGATAATTATATTAGGAATATTCTAGAATGAATCAATGATGACGAAGAAGAAGAGTCATATCTTTTGCTGACGTATTTAGTTCCTTTCGACTGAATCTCAATTTGAATTCATTCCAACTAAGTGCCAACATCAAATTAACACGTATCGTGATGTTCAATTAAACAAATATCATTGTGAATTCACGAATCCAATTTCAGTTAGAATTTCCAGAAAAAAAAAAATCTCCAGTAACAACTGGATTCAGATTTCGTGTCAATTTTGTGAACTCACCGAAAAAGAGTTCATCCATTTTTGTTTTTTCTTCGAGGCGTTTCAATAGGAAAATTTCATTGCTATTGTGCGAAAGTCAGAAATATCTTGCACCCGGTGAATAAAATACAGAATATATATCGGTAAATTTTTGCGGCGAAGAAATCGAGTAGGTTCGACAATTTCTCTCTTATACATTGTACCGAAACGCTTATGTGGCATACGGTAAAGTCTTTTGTTATTGTACTCACACTTGGTAGGTGCGCATTTGTATAGGTTTTATACATGCATGAAACGTAGCATACGCGAGAAGCAAATGAACAATTTTCTTGTTCTTTCTTTCGTGACGCGCCGTCAGTACACTCTACATGCTCACAAACCCTTACACGTACACCGTTCCGTTTGTGTAGTATGCCACGCAACGGGTTGACTCGGGAAAAAGAAATGGGAAGAGAGACAGAGCGAAAAAAAAGCCGACACAATCGTGCTTTGTCCGTTCGTACTTATTTTTGGCCAAAAAAACGTGTCAGAGCAATCGTGCAATTGGTGTTTCGTACACATTATTGCACATCACTTGAACTGTTGAACAAACTTTAAATAGGTCACGATAACGGTAATTCCACTGAATGCGTTGAAACTCACCAGGTGTGAGCACACACACAAACATCATCATCAATCGATCTGTGTACATCATTTATACAAATCGCGTGCAGAACACATTAATCAATATGCCGAATGAATTTCAATATCACTGAATTTCTTATTGTACTGCGTGTGCACATTGTTACCGCTTTTCCCGAATAAATTTGGACTTGGAACATAAATACCTAACGGAAATCGTTTATTTTTTTGTTTCAGAAAGCAAATATGAAGCTATTTTTAGCATTTATCGCGCTTGTGGCTATTGCCATAAGCTCTTCGGCCGAACAATCCAAAGAAAAGGAAGACATTGGTGTAGTTATTGGTATCGATTTAGGAACAACATACTCATGGTGAGTATACTAATTACTTTTTTTGTCTCAAAAATCCGTTTTCATTTTTTTAGCACACGTCTGCTACTAGGCCTATATTATCAAATCGTTGGTTTTATAGTCTTGCATGCAGACAAGAATAAATTTTCATTGAAAATAGAATCTCGCGGTTTCTTGAATGTCAAAATGGCGTTCGAAGAGCTTTTGAGGATCTACATCATTTCATTAAATTAGTCATTTTTATTTCATCACAATAAATCCGCCCACTTTTGAATCAAATGTATGGTTCTAATACGATATCGTTTTTAATGCAGTGTCGGTGTGTACAAGAATGGACGTGTTGAAATTATCGCCAACGACCAAGGTAACCGTATCACTCCATCGTACGTGGCATTCACAGCTGAAGGTGAACGTCTCATCGGAGATGCTGCCAAGAATCAATTGACCACCAATCCAGAGAATACCATTTTCGATGCTAAACGTTTGATCGGTCGTGAATACTCTGATCCAACTGTGCAAGCCGATGCCAAATTGTTCCCATTCAAGATTGTTGAAAAGAGTACGAAACCATACGTTCAAGTCGCTACCAGCCAGGGTGACAAGACCTTTGCACCAGAAGAAATTTCAGCCATGGTTTTGACCAAGATGAAGGAAACCGCTGAAGCTTATCTCGGCAAGAAGGTTACACACGCCGTCGTTACTGTTCCAGCCTACTTCAACGATGCCCAACGTCAAGCTACCAAGGATGCCGGTTCGATCGCTGGTTTGAATGTTATGCGTATCATCAACGAACCAACAGCCGCCGCTATTGCATACGGTTTGGACAAGAAGGATGGTGAAAAGAATGTGTTGGTCTTCGATTTGGGTGGTGGTACTTTTGATGTTTCACTTTTGACCATCGACAACGGTGTGTTTGAAGTCGTTGCTACCAACGGTGACACTCACTTGGGTGGTGAAGATTTCGATCAACGTGTCATGGACCACTTCATCAAATTGTACAAGAAGAAGAAGGGCAAGGATATCCGCAAAGACAACCGTGCCGTACAGAAATTGCGTCGTGAAGTCGAAAAGGCTAAACGCGCTTTGTCATCCAACCACCAAGTCCGCGTTGAAATCGAATCATTTTTCGAGGGTGAAGACTTCTCAGAGACATTGACCCGTGCCAAGTTCGAAGAATTGAACATGGACTTGTTCCGCTCCACATTGAAACCAGTACAAAAAGTCTTGGAAGATGCTGACATGAACAAAAAGGATGTCGATGAAATCGTCTTGGTTGGTGGTTCAACTCGTATTCCAAAGGTGCAACAATTGGTCAAAGAATTCTTCGGCGGCAAAGAACCATCACGCGGTATCAACCCAGATGAAGCTGGTAAGCAATTTTTTCCCTATTTTTTTATCGAATTTCGTTCGATTTTGCACTACAACGAACTAACGAATGATTTAATGTTTCTATTTACAGTTGCTTATGGTGCTGCTGTTCAAGCTGGTGTATTGTCAGGTGAACAAGATACCGATGCCATTGTCTTGCTCGATGTCAACCCATTGACCATGGGTATCGAAACTGTCGGAGGTGTAATGACCAAATTGATTCCACGTAACACTGTCATTCCAACAAAGAAATCACAGATCTTCTCAACTGCCAGCGACAACCAACACACCGTCACCATTCAAGTGTACGAAGGAGAACGTCCAATGACCAAAGACAATCACTTGTTGGGAAAATTCGATTTGACCGGTATTCCACCATCACCACGTGGTGTGCCACAAATTGAAGTATCATTTGAAATCGATGCCAACGGTATTTTGCTCGTATCAGCCGAAGACAAAGGCACTGGTAACCGTGAAAAGATTGTCATCACAAACGATCAAAACCGTTTGACACCAGAAGATATCGAACGGATGATCAAGGATGCTGAGAAATTCTCAGACGAAGACAAAAAACTCAAGGAACGTGTCGAAGCTCGTAATGAATTGGAAAGCTATGCCTACAGTTTGAAGAACCAAGTTGGTGACAAAGACAAATTGGGCGCTAAATTGTCCGATGATGAGAAGTCGACAATCGAAAAGGCTGTCGATGGTGCCATTAAATGGTTAGAAGAGAACCCAGAAGCCGACTCCGAAGAATACAAGAAACAAAAGAAAGAAGTCGAAGATGTCGTACAACCAATCATTGCTAAATTGTACCAAGGACAACCAGATGGTGCTCCACCAACTGGTGGCGACGACGATCTCAAAGACGAATTGTAAACACGGAGTGAAAGCTTTCCATCGCGTCATACAACACACGTTCACATCAAATCGTAGTTTACACCATTTTTTTTTCTTTTTTACGTGAAATTCTTATTTATTTATTCCGAACCGTGCATTTCTTCGAGAAAAAAACACATACCTATAATTGAATTGTCCAGTGAAGAAATTTTGTTTTGAGAAAAAGATAGAGAAAATAATTCGCATAAAAATTGTATCCGATTAAATCGAAAATCAGCTTAGTAAAAACTATTAAGTATTTCATATGTAAATTCGAATGATATTCACCCACACATAGTAGATCCTTTGTGACGTTTTCCTCCATGACTGTTTTCAATTCGAACGGAAAATAGTTTGTAAATTAGATTTGTTGTGATTTTTTTTTCTCCAATGTGAATTGCAGTGCAATTCTTCCATAGCGCGCAATCCGTTATCAATTTTTGATGACAATTGAATGGACGCCCGATTTTTTTTTCTTTATCAGTCATCCAAAGGAAATCCGTCACAGCATCCAAGACAAAAACAACAACAAAAGAGAAACAATTTGTGAAATTAACAAGAAAGAAGAAAATAGAAGAAAACAATGTAATTTTATGTAACTATAGATTGGTTTAAATTAAACTTCGAAGAGGATTTAAATAAAAAAAAATATTGTAAAATACTACCTCTATGCTGTTTCTTCGTATTTTTTCTCTCTCGCTTTTTTATTCACTTATGATTTTTCAAAGCGCTCATTCTATTGAAAAACTTCTAATTATTTTTTTTCAAATTCAGACTGAGATGCTTCTGTGAGTTTTGGTCGTTAGTGCAGATTTATAGATAGATGCAACACGTACAAGCACAGGCGCCCAGTTCTTTTTCAGAAAGGTAGACGAAACTAAAAAATCAAAACAAAATTAAATTTTCGTATTAATCATTTCCGATTTCATTGAAATAGAAAATAATTACATTACTTAAATTAAGATTAATACAATTAGCGAAATTCTAGAAACGGAATTGAAATGAAAAACCAAACTGATACACACACATTTTGTAACAATAAAAAAATAAAAACAAAATGAAAACAAAGCGAAAAAAAACTTAAAAACGAACATTGTTTTATTTTTCTATAATATAATCACAGGGTACAATCTTAATTGCTATAGACACATGCAAAAGATGAACTGTTTTTTCTTAACTTTCCATTGAGACTATACAAAAAGGCTGGTTACAAAAGTCTAAAAATAAAACAAAATCGTCTAAAAAAATAACAATTTCGTCTAAAGGAAATTGTCCCTTTTTTTTTAACAAATTCGTCTAAAATAATTTTTTTAAATGACAAAATCGTCTAAAAATGTGACAATTTTTTTCTTAACAAAATCGGGTTTTCAAATAACAAAATCATCTAAATACGAGTTTTCTGGCAAAATTGACAAAAACGTCCATTAAAAAAATGTTTTTTTAAAGTGGAAAAATCGCCTAAATACACATTTTCTCGAAAAAATGACAAAAAACGCATCTAAAAGACTCCAAAAATATCTATGGACAAAATGTTTATTTAAAGTGACAATATCATCTAAAACACTCTCAAAAATCACAAATTCATATGATATTTTCATCCTGAAAAAATCGCCTGAAATATGCCATCAGTGGTTTGCAAATGAAAAAATACTCTCCGGATTGGAAAGCCATCTTCAGTGTATGTCTTATCAAATTCATTGGGTATGGTTTTGATCATATCACTTTTTGGAATCAAACTCAGCTCATATGCAATGTGTTGTGAAGAGCAAAATAAAAATAATCGAATGAATACTCGGCAAAATGTGTGATTCTTAAAGTTAAAAATAAAGAAGATATTGAAAAAAATTGGGATTTTAGATTATTTTGTCATTTTAAATGAACTATTGTTCATAGTCGTTTTTGGTATATTTCAGGCGATTTTTTCAGCATGAAAATATCATATGAATTTGTGATTTTTGAGAGTGTTTTAGATGATATTGTCACTTAAAATAAACATTTTGTCCATAGATGTTTTTGGAGTCTTTTAGATGATTTTGTCATTTTAAATAAACATTTTGTTAATAGACGTTTCTGTCAATTTTGACAGAAAACTCGTATTTAGACGATTTTGTTATTTTAAAACCCGATTTTGTTAAGAAATTTTTTTTCGCATTTTTAGATGATTTTGTCATTTAAAAAAAATTATTTTCCATTTCCTTTAGACGAATTTGTTATTTTTTAGAAGATTTTGTTTTATTTTCAGACTTTTTACCGTTACATGAAACGTACATTGTAAATGTAAAAGGTACTAACTTTGTTTTTTTTCTCCATGGGGGTCCAAAACTGTAGATTTTTTTATTCCAAAACAGATTCTGTTTTTATGTTTCATTATTATCTGTGACTAACTACAAATTTAGATTATTAAACGTTATTACCAATACGATACTTGAAAATTTTCATTTCCATATATTATGATGTATTATGTTGTGAATTGGTTATTGTGGTAGCATTGAATTTAATACAGAAGTTTAGCTGATTTTTGGTGACCTGAACTTTATTGTACTCTGTATGCTATCTGTCTAATCCATCCATACATTGTGATGTAGTACATTTCATGTAACGGCTCAATTATAGTTTGTTATGCAATAACAAACTAGGCCCAAACTGGGTACTTTCGTAGGTTCTAGAAGACTCTACGCGTAGCGTAGAGCGAGAATGTTTCTTTTTTGTATTTAACCTATACAAAAATATGTGTTTGAAACACTTAAATAATATGAATAATAATATGCTTAGGTTCATCCTGACACTGGAACCAGAGAGAATCTGTTGAGAATCACGTACATTTGATTTTACCACTATACAAAAATATTTAAACACAATGTAAGAAAATAAATCAACTTTGCTTACTTTAGCGAATAGAAAAAATTCTCTGGCATAATTTCTATGTTTGCTATCAATACCGATAAGGTGCGTACATTTGTTGCCTCGGTACATTCAGTATCCATTTTCTTCGTCATTTTTTTTTTTTGATTGAATGAATCGTTAACGGTTGACGCACTTTATCAAGAATTTGTTATCTATTTGTTACCTTAGAAATATGATTTTTATCGCCATGCGTAGAGATCAATATGATTCTCACATTGCGAGATTCTCGCAACGCGGAACATATTGATCCACAATCGAAATGTTGATATCAATAGACGCAGAGAGTGAAATACATTGATGTTGACAGTATCGCTTTCCGGTTTCTGATTCCATTTGAAACAAAATAGAATTCACTGGTTCAACATTTATAAAGAATATATATATCTCATTTTCTTAATGCAAGCGGCGTTTGTGTGACCATACACGAGTCCTTATACAAATAGATTAAAATACATGGAAAATTCCTTGAAGAAAAAAAAATCTACCCCTCGATTCTGTGCCGCAAACAAACTTCACTGAGCATTATCTCGATACAATTAATTAACTTGAACGCGAAGTTGTTATGGAATTCGTATCGCGAAAGGGAAGCGCGCAACTAGAACATAGAGTCAATGGGTACTACGTGTTTGTGTTTGTGTTGGTATTCTAACGACAGAGTGACGAAATGTATGCGTGCTATATCGTTCGTTCGTATGGAGTTGTCCGCTTCTCTTTCGTTTTGATTCATCTCATCCGCGTGCGTCTCACGCACGAAATAAGTATGAATATTCGTTCAGTGGCACTCACCGAATATTACAATGTATGTCTATTTGTAATAAATCTTATATTTCTTCCTGAAACAATTTATCACCCTGATTGCAATCACATGGAAATGTAAAAGCTATTAGAACTGTTTAAAAATTTCAAACTTTCGATCCGTATTCGTTGCGACTGGTGCCCGAGAATCGGACCGATAGTGTCCGACCACTATTATTGAATTTGTAGACTTTGTAGTTGCCATCGCTGCGTGCTTGATGCATTGCTATATCGTCTTGAAATCGAAACGAGCACCGCATCATCAGATTCTATTCGAATAGACAAATCACAAACGACTTTTTGTTCATCAAACATGAAATTGACTCATCGTCAAAGTGATTAGAAACTTACCATGAAACTTATTCGGAATTTTTTATTCATATAACAATAGAGAATTGGATTGATGCTCGAATTCGATGCTCCCAACCTAAATGCCATAAAAACGGGTATTATTTATGTGTTTTCTTTTTGTTTTGGTTTTTATGCTTTTCTTTCTATGCGTACCATTGGGCAATTGGAACTAAGAAGTAAATGACCTCCTTAACTAAACAACAGAAAAAAAAGATGATTAGACTTCTTTCTGTTTGGATATTTAACCGAAAAGGGTAAAGTTCACCTTGACCTTGTTCGTCGTACAGCATTTCTTCCCAGAATTTGACGATGCAAAAAATGCAATAAAGTGGCAACCATGACAATGCAAACGTAATTATAACTACGAATACCATTTTAGTGACTTTGAGACGGCTCTTGTTGATTGAATCGCGCGTACTTTTGTATCCCAGATACTCGCCGGGTATGCTACGGTGGGCTACACTCCTCCATATTATGACATAACAAAATGTAATTACACTCAACGGTGCCAAGTAGCAGAGTATCAAATTAGCCAGCACGAAATAAACATTCTCCGAAAAAGTGGATGGCCACAGCTCGATGCAAACCTGACAGACAGTCGAGAAGAGAGAAGGGGTGAGAGAGTGAAATGGACGCATAGAAATATATACTTGCTACTTTTACTACTTTAATTGACTTTTTATGGCTCACTTTTCGATTACTGCCTGATTCAATTGGCTCCAACTGGAAAACGTACAACCAAGGCAAATTCACAGACAATGCAATTAGCCATATCATTGTTACGGCCACTTTATATTGCCTGCGTGATGAGTTGATGAGAGAGCAGAGAAAAAATTAGTGTATTGCATAATCGCCAAGCAGAAGGAGGAGAGAAAAAATCAATTTAACTGAATTAAAGTACGGAAAAAACGTACCTCGATGTAATTGACACATAGGGACATGATATTGCAATGCAGCGTTCGATCGAAATGGCCATCAGAGTGTTCACAGATGCTGAAACTGACACACCTTGCATGTACGACACCTATGCGAAATAGGAAGAGAGAGGCAGAAAGATGTAGCAAAAAGGTGCACACGATTATTCGTTACACTTTCTCCTAGACTTTCTCACACTTACCGTTTTGCATATGAAAGTGCCCAACGTCCATTCTAATTGTATTAAATGAAATGAAATGAAATCAAATTAAATCAAAAGTCTACCACGAATCATTATCGATACGGTAACATCCAATAACAAATCGTATTGATTTTCCCTGTACAAATATATTCAGGATTACGGTTTGATTCCGAATATTCATAAGCCCTGCTGTGACGATGTGATGACATCGGCGGTGGAGGTGGTGACAACGATAGGAATTGAGTGTGAGAACATTAATAACGTTGCGATGAGTAAGGAATTCAATTCAATACCATACAATGTGCAAATGAAGAACAAACATTGAGAACAACGCTAGCTGCTGATTAATTCAGATGGGTTATTAGCTGCATGTCTTCATTTGTGTATAACATTTGTCATACGATTTATTGTGCGGAAATTGATTAAATGTTAAGACCTTGATTGTGAGCATAAGAACATCAACACCAGCACCAGCACCAGCACCAGCACCAGCACCATCACCACCACCAACACACACCGGTTTATGTAATATACCCCAAAAAACTTGGTATTTTGTTAGAATTCGATTTGATGACGGAAGTTTGTTTTCATTGGAAACACGCTATAACTATGCGGCTTTGTTAGTTTAATGAACACTAAAAACAGTGAATGGGTTAGCCGCATATCAATCAGATAATCGTTAACCCGACTGAAGACAAAAGCGCACCACGTTGCCAACAACAATTCCTTTTCGTATTCGAAATGAGAGGCTAAATATACATATATATAGAGCTTGAATGCTAACAATGTACCGCATACAAAATAAACACACACCCGGTTTGCTCCGTTTCAATTTCGTGTTGAAATCACTTCCAATATCTATGCTGATGAATATTCACAAAATTCAGCATGACTGTTTCAGGCCCACTTTAACGACTCATTTGGTATATTCAGAATCCGGAGGACTTTTCTTTTGCATTTCGTCACCACCACCACCACACGGTAACAGTTTTAAAGTGAAATTGAAAAACCTTTTGACTTTCACCAAAACCACGGCATTACAATTACATCAATATGTGAGCACAGACAAAAAGTATCGTCCGATTTTTAGGCTTAAAATCTAAACAACTTTTCATCAAAGTTTTTAATCTCATCATTAAACGCTCAATGCTTTTCATCTGTACGTCGAATGAGTGTACCGTGTTGGATGCAAGAGAGTGCGTGTGAAATTTATCGCCTGGAACACACATTTCACTTAATTTATTAGAATAGATTACGAACAAGGCCGCTGACTCAATGAGCTAAGTTCGTCGGCTCGTGTTACAGCTTAAAAAAGAGAAAAACTTTTTGTTAAATTCCTTTTGCACCAAAATAAGCCTAATCTCAATGTAATAACTTTGCCACCTGAAAATTTGGCGCGCATATATGAATGAAATTCCATTTTCCTGCGTCTTATTTACGTTTACCACAATAATAATAAAGCGCGTGAAAACGGGTAAACAGCCAAAAGCCGTCTCTTTTAATGCTAATAGCGATGTTCTTTCTTCTATCTCAACACATTAGATCACGTGGATTGTGCATTTGTAGCACGAGAGTCGCTTGAAATAATGCTTATCAATTTTACGCTAATCGTACTATCGTCAGCATTTTGCGCATATGATTCACACGGAAGGGGAATTGCGGAGAAAACCCAAGAGAGCAATATTACAATTATAAATAGCACCAATTTAGAATCACAATTTAAACCGTTGTTATCAATTGCAGAGTGACAAATAAAATCCAATTGCAGAAATCATTCTCGTTCACTTTTCGCTTTAATATATGGTAATGTGTTGTGGTTTCAACACACACACACACACACACACACATTGAAACGTTGAATCCTAATTAATGACGCAATTAAATTTCTTTTTACATACACGCATTTTATACACGCTTTGAGGCCGTTGAACTGCCAAAGCTAATTTAGCTTTGCTTAGCTGAAAGATACGTTAGCTTTGAATGGGCGTACTTCATGTTAATGCTGAATTGCATTCTTTACGAGAAAGTAGTTTATCAGTGAAGATAAATCATCACAACAGTCTACGAGGAGGAAGCTTAGGCGATGATGTGGAAATAAATACATTTCGTAATGAATGCATAGAATGGCAATTTTTTCTTCAAATGATTTCGCTTCACTTCAATAATTTTTCATCGCGACAAAACCGCTTTCGATTTGAACAGGAAAATCTTTGGAATATGAATAAATCTAGCTATTTGTTTAAGTTACCTGGATACAGATTTGACACCAGTGTGAATGGTACACACACCACGTTCACGAGTAAATCAGCAATGGCCAAGTTTCCAATTAATTTGTTCGTCAACGTTCGCATTTGGGGTGATTTAGTAACGACTATGAATACGGCCACATTTCCAACCACGCCTATTATTGATATCATACAGTACGCGATACTAAAAATCATAAAAGCATATGAGAATGAAAAACGTTTGATGGGTCGGTCGCAACCAATTATCTCACGAGTTTTAACAGAAACAAAAAGAAAACACGATTTCAACTTACGTGAAGATAATTGATGTTATCATTCCATAGCGTAAATTGTCAATTTCATCGGCTGTCGTGGAGTCACCAGAAGTTGTGTTATTCGAAGCGCTCATGTAAGCGATCGAATGTAAAACCGTCCAATTAGAAATCGCATCCTGTGAACTAGTCATATCATCTGACGTGTAAGCCATTTTTGTTCTTTGTTTTGATCCTTATACAAAACTCTTGGAGGATTCTTGTACACAAATCACTGCGCTATCACACGGAAACAGATGTCATTGTAAGCTCTTTGAGAACATGCGTTCGAAATAATGTTGACTAAAAATAGCAGCCGTTTTAATCATCAACGTTATTCATTACCTGGAAAAATGAGAGCATCATAATTTCAGCATTAATTAGTTTTGTCATTGTGTAACATTTTCACGTATACAACACCCACAAAATATTAGCAATGCATTACAATGAGTTTAATACTTTCTCCGGCGTGAATAGGTACTTGTTGAATTAGAAACACCCAGAAAAACGTGCGAAAAAGCGACACTGAGTGAAAAATTTGCAAGATCAAACAAAAACAAGCAAACCAACTTTGGCTCTATAGAAAAGAAATATAGATACTTCTGTCGCCAAACAAAAGTTATATGCTGCTGAAATACTCGACAAACATTAAATACGAAAAATACGAGAATGGAAGCTTAAAATTGGGTATCTCAATTCAGTCGCGAGTGGTTTGTTTGTGTACGTTTCTTTTTTTTCAATACAAAGTAGAATGTGGCATGGCCGTCAAAATGAAAACATCAACACAAGAAGGTCACCTTTTGGAAAACAAGTGACAACGGAAAAATGTTCTTTTTACACTGTTTGCAAGTGTCCGCAAAGTGTTTCCTTGAAAATATTTAGATATGTGAATAAATTAAATTTTAAATTGTTTACATTTGGTGTGAAATATTTCATTTTCAACTCCTAGACAATTTCGACGATGTCTCTTGAGCGTCAGTTGGTGCTAACTGTGGTAACTGTGGGGTGGCATTCGGTGTTCCGCATCGAATTTCATATAAACTGTTTTCACGAGGATAAAGAAAATATTTTCCACGAAACGGTCCACTTTCAAGAGACAATAGCCCATTACAGTGTCTCGATTTCATCATCGATAATATTGTCCATTTTCGTTAATAAAATGGTTGGATCGTCGTATTTTTCGTTCGCAAATTAGAGGAGTTGAGCTTTTTCGGCTTCTGAATGACGCAATTAATTGTTACCACTTGAACATTATGGTTTTATGGTTCACAGAAATTAGGGCGTAATTAATGACGATTTAATTTCTCGCTTCTGATCAGTCAGCCGTTATGTCAACATGTTCAGGTAACCCGTCACACCGAAAAAGATGATTCATTGAAATTCTAGTCAGTCGTTGAACAAACTCCAGGCTCAACGGGTTTAATTCAGAGATTGATATCGGAAAGCAATAAAAGCATGTGTGTGAAGCTTGAGTGTCTCAACAGGTAAGCGAAAAAGGCACACGCTAACACTCCAACTCAAACATGCGTAACAGTTGGTGCGTTTCACTTATTCTTTTTTCTGTTTCGCATGGAACTTCGCTAGCGTAATATTGTCTGGCACGATATTCGGCTTAAAGTTGGAACATCATGCAGCGTTAAAAATTGATTTACCATGAAATTTGAATAATTTACATTTCTCGACGAAAATTATTCCTTGTCTTATTTAACCATGTACACAATGTCAATATCGAATAAACTCTCCTGTATTTTTTTTTTGTTAATTTAGGTTGGTTTTCCGTTCTGTCATTCAAATTTTTTTCGATGCCATTCATTTCATCCTTTTTCTCGCCATTTTACTTGATATAAATCTTTGAAATCTATATGAAATTGGTTTCGTACGCCAAATTGGGGACTGAAAAGCGCTTGATTTATGATTCTAACAATTCTCTTTTCCTTGCAGCTTCGCATAAAGCGGAAATGTATTACGTTGACACATGCAGATTATAGATACAAAGTGAGAGAGAGAGAGAGAGGCGAGGAAGAGAGAGCATCATTCCTTTGAGCTGGTGTTACATTGAGTTCTCATTGATTTATTCAAATTTTTGCCATTCATCCAGTTGACGAAGTTGGGCGAAAAGCAAGTCTGTTTGGCCAATGTATCACATGCGTAAGCATCGCAAAAGCTTATCACAAAAAACTACTTATCGAACAAAAGAATCAAATGAAGATTTATTGACCTTGAAACGTGCACAACAACAAATCTTCTTCCTTTAACGAAACGATTCCCCGACATTATTTCCATTGAATCGATACTCTCGAACTGATTGAGTAATGTCAATGTCAATGTCAATACAACGACCCAGCACACGAAAAACAATTACATCAAGAAAACTCTAAAAAGACAATGACATAAAAATGATTCGTCACATTCACTATGATTTTGATGTGTTAATCGCATCAATGACCAAAGTTCGCATTCGAAAGAAATGCCAAAAAAGGTAGGAACATCGATTTCAGCGATTTGCTGTCAATTATTGTGTACAAAATTGCTATTGAAGCAAAGTAAAAGCCATTAATCATTTCAACGATGCGTGATTAATTTTCGATATTTTTCGTCACATTTCTCTGGATAGCATTTATCGGTTTCTTCAGTCGGTCTAATGTCAAAACAATCGACTCAATTTAGACGAGAAATAAGCGTGTATGTGAAAAGGTCACAAGTATGCGTCCAAAGTTATTGAACATGATTTATTTCGTCGATCCATGGAAATCATAATAAATTAAATTTTCCGTCGACAGCACATTCTTTGCTCCATAAATTGTAGGCCTATCGATTCAACTCGAATTTTGTAGGCTGGCGGAAACAGATGAGACGATTCTTTATCAATTGTTGTCTGAGTGTCTGAAATTACTTGAACATGTTGGGCTGATTTCGATGCTAAAACCAATTAACATCAGATGATGACGGAGTTCGTAATGAGCAGATGAGCCATTAAATTCGATAAGCCATGAAAATGTGAAAGGGGTCATCAAAAAAACATGAACATTGAGCAATATTAAATTTTCTTCGTTTCCCCAATTTCTGCTCTATTGATTCGCAAGAGAAAAAAAGTACTCTTGTCTGTTGGAAAAACGAAAATCGGAATCTTTTATGAAGAATAATTTTGATATTACATTAAGAAGTATTATGTTTCACACCTTTTTAACTGGACCCAAAATCCGCATCAATGATTCATAAAATAAACGGAAGCAGTAATTCAGAGCAACTTCTTGCCTTAAGTGGTTGCAAAATAGCAGACGAAATATTACAGATTCGCCAAAAATAGCACCGAGTTCGCTTCGCATCTATGTGTGCCTGCCAGATAAATATTTAGCTAATATTCGACAAGAAAATCGCTTTTTGGCAATGTTTGGCTGACGGCACTCGAAATCCAATAATAATGAATGTCTAATGAACTGAATAAACTTCAGCTCCAACATTCATCGAATCTACTCGTAACTTGAGATTTTCAACGGATTTCCATGCGGATTTGACGTTGATTCAACAATTATTTGTTTAGTGTTTCGGCGGTTTATAATGGCCTTTGTTTCCTCTTGAGAACGGAATGCCATGATAAATTGTCGACTTTTTTCTGTTGTTTTGAGGAAAGGTTTGATACCCATACGTTGAGCTATATTCTATTCCGAACAACAATGCAAAAAGGATGGAAATTTCATGTTTGCATCGTTCTATTCCCCTTCGAGCGAAGATACGAAGATGCCGAAGAATGCTGATATAATAATAACGCATCACATGTAAATAATCGAAGGTTTATTTGTTCAAAATATTTAACATTGTGGATGCCTGCAATCGGAGTTTGAAAGACTTGAGTTTTTGGTTTGGCACCAATTTCGCATTTGTTTGAAGTTGGAAAGTTTCCTTGAGTACGGGTGTGAGAGTGTGTGTGCGAGAGAGACGGAGTGGGAGAGCTTTGAAATGCTGAAACGTGGGCTTTGCCCGCGGCTGTTGAATACTATTCATTCAACCTGTATGATGGAAATTATTGCTCGCATGTTGAAAACATCTTAAAGACATTCACAGTAATGCGTAATAAAAGGGTGTGTGTGTAGGATAAATCCTAAATGTGACTATGTAGAAAAAGGCTTTTGTAACATGTAATTCGTCGTGAATCGTGACACACGTCCCGATATTGAAGTATCACGTCTCGCTTGTTCCTAGCAAAAACACAATTGAGTGCAAAGTCAAAGCAATTAAATGTTACTTTATGAAGAGAAAAAAAAAATATTCGCCTATAACATAAGATGAATATAATATTCATTGAATAAATGTGCGTCACCTACATGCGTGTGTGATGACGACGAAAAATGAAACAAAATTGTGCTCGAATGTAAATTGTTTTTGTCTGAATTCTTGATAAGAGCTTTCCATTTGAGCTTATTTTTTTGCTCAAATTTAATTTTGAACAAGTTTATGCGAACAACGATGGCCTCAAACAAGTTATCAGACTGGTGCGATTTAAACCTTCTGTCGCCGTCGAAACTTGAGAGCATCATGAAATACGGATACACTTTCAATTTGTTTAACCATTTTTTCTTTGCATTTTTCTTAGATGCGTGAATGTGGTTTCGGTGTTTCGATTTTCTTTTTTTTTCCGTTCAAATTGTGTTTTCGTACATTTCACATACATACAATGCACAACTTGTATCCAAGTGCGTTGACTTGGGACGATTTGCATATAAATGCTCACTCTCTCCTTCTCCTTCATCAATTACTGGTAAAACAGGCAAAATTGGTTTAAGCCATCCTCAAGAACTGTTGAACGTTGTCTTCGTTGCTCATCAAAACTTTCTCCATCTGCAAGCACTTTACATTTTCGACGGTTTACATTTTCCACTTAAACGGTTATTTCGAGTGTGTTTGAGGCATCTCTGCCGCCCATCTCTTTTGTTTTGGTTTTTTTTCTCTCTATCTTCCCTGGACGGGATGGCAAACAGGCGGTTGCTATCGTGTGAAGCTTTCATTTTTTATTCATTTGGCACATGACACGTTCAATTAATTCATTTGGGGAAACTAATTTGTGCGGCTATTCACGTTTTTCGTGTACATAATATCGCCCAACTTGCCAAAGCATCTTCACGTACGCGGAATAAAATTGACAATTTATTCGGCCAATTCTATTTCTCGTGTAGTTGTCGTTTGTTTTGAAACACGAGAATTAACAGCATGCTGCGACTTACATAGCTTTTCAGCAAATTGACCGAATAACAATGGCCAAGTGAGCAGGCGAACGAGCGCCTATTTCGTAAATTCTAAGCCGTGATGAAATGAATACACATAGAATGGAATAGAATCTTGATCCATTTAAATGTAATAAAAGAGAGCGGAAAATGGCTGAAAAAAAATATTTCCTTTTTCAATTCGCTAGAAAATGGTTTCGTTTACTCGGCACTTTCTCCAAACAATCTCATATAAAGTATATGATGTTGAATGCGTAATGAAAAAAAATTGGACTCATTCGGTTTCTACTTGGAGCGCGCTAAACGGAGTGCGTCATGGATTGCGTGGTTTACGGTTCAAAATGATACCAAACACCGTCCAACAGTAGAAAGCACATCTCATTGCTGTTTCATTCGTGTATCACTCTCACATTCCCTTTGCAAATTCGGGACGTACTTTTACGCAATATTTCATCTAATTAAATTTATTCGCTTACATATTCAGCATCGTAAAGAAGATGCAGTGAAGTGATTTATGTGCAAAAATTGCAATGTCCTCAACGAAAATATGTTCAAAGCGTTCTGTATACCCAATACCACGCCCTCATTTTATCTTGTCTTACAATACCACAACCCGCCGCATCATTTTGTAAAAAGCCGAAAATTCCGACGGAAAAAGTGAAAACACAATTTCCGTTCGATGTTTACTCAGGGAAAATAAAACAACCATATTCTGCTGATTCAACGTAAAAGTTTGCATTAGGGAATAAATGGGTATTGTTTCCAATTACGCAATAAAAATATTAGGAAAGTGGAAAAAATGGGAAAATTGCGAAACAATTTTATGCCTTTATGCACTGAATGCCTGCTGCCGTTCAATTGTTCCATTGTTATTTTGCAAAACTTTTTTTTTTCTACGATAAAATACCTTAATTCGATTAGCGTTGATGGACATTTGTTGATGGAGGAAGTCAACCGGGAATTCAATTATTTTCCATTTTTTGGTTATTGTTGTTGTTTGTTTCGTTCATTTTATTTTTGCTCGGTAACGAAATAACGACCAATAATTTTTGCCACGAACATGATACACTATGAACACATCGAAACACAAATAATTTGACCAAATTCTAGTTTTAATCAAATGGCCGCGAGTTCAATCATCTGACGAAAATTTGTTTCAACAACATAAAAAAAAAATTGTTTCCAGCCAAGACCTTTTATTCACTCTTCGCTTTTCGCAAAAGTGAATTTATATCGTGAACATGAAATGTTCTCCAAAAAAGTAGATAATATCATAAGCAAGATGGAAAGAAGCCACTGAGCCAGAAAAAAGCGAACACATTAGTTCCGTTTCACTCATACTTACCGCTTGAAAATTGTATGTGGGAATTTTATCAAGATCATCCGCAGGGTTTAGTGGAAGCTTAACTTGTCGGCATCAATAGTCACTTTGATACATTTCCAAGAAGCGATATGTTGAATCAAATTTTCCGAAAAAAAGAGAGCTATTTGTTCTTCCGGCACTTTGTCCAATATCACGCGATCAATGCAACAACTTCGAATGGGTTATCAAATTCAATCAAATTGAATTCACGTTTTTTTTTCTCGTTTGAAATTCAATAGGTCATGTTCACACTGTTCACAATTTAACTCTTGTTTGATAACGTTCGACTTGGGAATTCACAACATACTCTCAAAAATGGAATAGACTTGGGAATTTACAACGAGACAGAGCTGCGAGTACTGCGAAAGATGCAGACGCGTTCGCCACGACTGCCAAATGTGTTCTGATGTTGATGACAATAGTATCTGATTCGTAGTGGGAGCGTTATGCGTAGCACGAATGGCAATGGCAAAAGTGCTAATGTTGATGCCCTAACATGATTGTGCTTGTGTCAGGGAAAAACCGGAAAGAACTGAACAGCGAACGCCACAAAAACGGAAGAACATCGAAAGAGGTGTACGTAGGCACGGATTGATTCGACTCGACTCGGCTTTCGTTCTCTCTGTTTTGTGTGGTTGTGTATTTATTCAATGTCAGGGTTTATAATACTGAAATATTCAAGGCATTGCATAACAGGGTGAACCGAAAATATACTGCTCTCTCCCATTTGTTTATTAATTGGTCGTCAATGGGCAATTTGTTCTACGGCTAAGTCGTTTCCGGTCCAGAATCAACATATAACCTATACGGTTTTTTGATTGAACCTATCAATTTTCGAAGAGACTCTTCAAAAGAGTGTATGTATGCATGATGACACCCACTATATGTTTCTTTATCTTTAAAAATATCCTGTGCACGGGAACTCACTCGTAGCATGCTATAGCCTTTTGTACGGTAAATCACATCGAATATTGCCGAATCGGATGTTCAAACGAAATTAGTTTGAACGTTGCGTATAATATAGCTGACTGAGATAAATCGCATGCAATTACATTGCAAGGATTTATAAGTTCAATGTAAAATCTTATGTGTAGTGTGTATTGCAAACATAAGAGAAAAGCGCTTTTCCGATAATAATATGGGATCATCATCCGACTGATTCATCTAACAACAACGGCTTCTGTTTACTTTCCCATACGTATTCCGATATTTTCCCTTTGGTTTGGTTGTTTTTCGGCACGAATGTCTACATATACGCATTTTTTGTCTCTCGCCCTCTCTCACTCGTAACCAAAGCAATTCTTTCAATTGTGATTGCTTTGAATGCGATAATAGTCTCGTTTAGTATTAAGCCAATCTGGCGCAAACATCGTGTGTATTATTGTTTTTCTTCTGCCCCCGTATCACACAGCAGAGCACGAATGAACATGCGAGCGAGAGAACAAGAGCAAGTGTGAGGCTAGTCTAAGAGCATAAGTGAGCTTCTTTCAGTTGTTCGTGAACAATGAATTATCATAATATGAGTTAGATTCTGAGTGTATTAGCATTTTTAGTCCGCATACGCTCACGTAACATCACTTCTACCTCCTCCACTTGCTGTGCATAAAGCAGGATTTATATTCTCTTCAGACAATCTACAGTAAGCAAGGCGGCAGAAAAAAAAACACATTCATTGTCATCATTCAATTTATTTCGATTTATATCGCGTGTACATTATTGTAAATCGCGATTTTCGACTGCAACTTCAGCAAAAATTCATTCATTGTAATTTCATTTATCCCTCTCTCTCTTTCTCAACGAGGGGTAGTCTCTTTCTCCCAACTAAATGATGGGATCATTTCTTTGGCTGCCGAGATTCCATTCACTTGATAAGAAAGAGCATTTAATATACACGAGCAATGAATTTTTTCATTTCAATACCGACCATCGACGTCATGATAATAGAGTCATGAGGCTTCCGATGGGTATCCCAATATGGTACGAACACTATATTCTGCGCATAAATAATCGTAGCTGTTGAAGTAAACATATTTGCAATGGAAAAAGGTTCGTTCGACGAATCTATTTGGCACCAATCATCTATTCAATATTAATAATAATCAATTTAGACACATTTTATATCGACTCAGTCGCCAAGTGGCAACCGACATTAACTCGTGAACATTTTTTTTTTGAAGTTCCATGACAATCGAAAATCCATATAGTACACACGCAACAGCAGCAGTGATACTATATAAATTCGAAATTATTGTTGCAATGTCAACAATTATGAAAGCAAATATCCATTCGTCTTGTTATACGCTTGTGTCTGTCTCTGTCTAAACCAATGGGGCATTTCTAATTTCATAAATTTATTCTCCATGTTAATGCTTAGGCCGATGGAATGAAATAAAAAAGCAGATATATTCCGAATGCGATGAAACCGGAAAAAAAGAAGTTTACAAAAAAAAAGAACAGCAACAGCTCTCGGAACTTGGGTGACTTCTTTCATTCCAACCAAATACGTTACACTTGTTCGACGTTACATATTAGACTTTTTTTTCTTTGCAAAAGTTCGCCCATTATTTATCAGTCATTTCCCTTATTCGGAATGGAAGATGACTGCGAATACACACCCTCCGCTACGCAATTGCGGCCAAAGTTAGCAAAGTTCAAAGGAATTAGGCTGGAAAGTGAATTTGATGGGTATAACATGAGTTTATGCTTGCCTTTACCCAATGCACGACTGCCACCGTTTTTTTCGTCTCTTTTTTTCTTTCTTGGATTAAGCATTTTTTCCACGCACAGCATTTCATGTCATTTTATTATCATTCAACTAAAAGTGTATAAACGCCCACGTGATAGCATTTGGTAAAACATTACATGCCCAATTGATGTTCCGTGTCAAATGAGGACGAGAGTTGATTGCCATATGCTTGACGTTTAGCATGTGTCTATGTGTCTTATTAAAAAGCTTTGGTATTTCATACAATCGCCGGAGTTTACCAAACGAAAAATTCCGACACGAAAAGGCCGCATAAAAGTACAAATGACGTGACACGGCTCCGTTTGAAACATAATTTATGCATTGAGCCGCTATAAAAAAAATCTCTTGTCTTTAATACATAATTGTATTTATATACATTTTATTTCCGTTGACTTGCCTCAGACTCGAAAAAATCCACAACAACGAGATCACGACTGATTCAACTGTTGTGATTTAATCCTTCAGTAATATATTTTTTAATCATCTTCGTAACATTCGTTTTTACGAATCTTTCGTTTTCTTGTAACGGGCATCACATGATGGCAACAACAACAACAACGATGTTACCGAACAGTGGCACAAGCAAGAAAATGGGAATTTCATAAGGCGTTCGTTGTGTGTTTAGTCAATTTTCATCAAACATGTAAGAGTAAAAAAGAACAAATTTATCATGGATATCTACGGAAGTATAATTTTTTTTTATTTTTCCGGTTTATTTCTCCTGTGAAGGGAACAACTTTTTGGATTTTTTTTTCAATTACTATTATCGTATTTTTTTCCCTCATTTCTGAACGGTTTCATTTATTATTTATACCAGCTACTGCTCTAGCATATATTTTGTTGCATAAATGGAATGTGTCAATGCGATACGGGAACAAGTCTGGAGTACACCGAATTTAAGGAGGTTTAATACATAAGAGAGTCTTAGAAAATGATTTGATTATATCAATATATAAACATAGCTCATCAATCATGCAAAAGCCGATAAAATGATTTGATTCGAATTGAAGTAAACCTTTTTTTTCTCGTGACTCGTACTAACTACAAGAAATGAACAAGTCAAATGCTTGTTTGTTGCTTTCGGTTGAATTTCAACAGTTAGTCGAAACTATTTGAGCGTCAGACATATGCGATGAACGCATCGTATTGAGTTCGATTGGTTTTGAATACAATGCGATGTGTACGCATACAATACACAGACACAAATGTGCAGAGCGACACCCGAAAAAACATGAATTCGAAAACAGTTTTGAGATGTCATCGCACCGTGGTTTGATTATCAATCTGTGTTGATGCTTTTGGTGTGTCGCACTCGTTACACTAATACGCGTTGACAGTCGAACAACAGATTTTGAATCTCTGTCGG